GTATATTCACTAATGTTTCAATTGCTGGGAATTCATAGTCAATTTCAAGTTTCAGGTCAGACTAGAAAAATATTCTAGGTCCCCAATGATTTCCGTATGACTATTCTGGCCTGGAATTGGTTATTCACATTGAATTAAAACTTGAATGACTAACCCTGCGTGTTGTCCTTTAGTACCAGATTATTTCACAGCTCCACTAATAATAAATCTGGGGAGGAATTCCCTCAATTAGATTTCTCTCTCCAATGCTGCACTTTTCTAGAAAGCAAACAGTTTGTATCTAGTCTTATGTGCGTTGAATACACAAAGTACCTTGTGGGGTGCTCCACTGTTGATAATGAACCATTTATTAATTTGGCATATCCCTGACTTTCTATTTCAGTCCAACAGCACGTACTTTTCTATGAAAAGAAGAAAATCCGTTCCATTTAGACGGCACGCAGTGGAAGAATCAGATTACTATAAAGTGGACTCCTGGAAAATTACAAGGTTTCACATATCCTGTGGCACACGCTGCGATGAGGAAATCTGCTACACCAGGCCATCTATTGTTTGAGGAGACAATGTAAAATCCCAAGAAGAAAATACATTTGAGCATATCTCTTGCAAGTGCTGTCCCCTGGGTTCTTCAATTGCTGCAACTAATTCAATAAATAGTTGCCATTTACCGAACAGTTTATTTTTCCAGCACTGCAATCTGTTATTTATTTTGGCTGTATAATCATAAATTTAATTAATGTTTGTCCTTTTGGTAAGACAATGTATTTGTTCTACAATTAAAAGGTGGAAATTATAAAGATAAAATTCGGCTCACACGCAGAAGGTGGAAATTATAAAGATAAAATTCGGCTCACACGCAGAAGGTGCAACTTTGTTTGCCCCAAAGATGATATGTAAGCCAACAGCCTACAATTGTACATCAAAATATATTGGCTGTGATCTGAACTCAACTTCGGAAAGCAATGTCCCATTTCAGGAATCTGAATCTCTTGCCCAAGCTGGTTTCCTCAAAGACTCCGCAGTATTTTGCACCATTACTTGTCCTGGCTGTTTATTTTTTTTCTATTTTATTTAAATTCTTTAAGTTTTGCATTTAATAGGTACAAAATAATAAAATAAAAAAAACACTGAGAAAATAAATGGGTAAACAAAATTGCACAGAATCTTCCACAATACGTGTACATGGGTTAAAACAATACATTGAAGACCTTTGAATATGTGAACAATCTCCTAATGTGGGGTAGCAGCAATAAACCTTTTCCATATGAATCAAATCACAGTCGTTCAACACATGCCAAGCATTAGAGGATAAAGTTGTGAAGATTCAATCCCTGCTAGATTTTCTGCACAATTTTAGTAATGGGATAAATGGATGTCGATACTTAACACTGGTAATGAGTAGGTGGGTGGTGTGGTGTTTGGTCCCTGGATGTGCTTTGGAAGGACATAGTTAAATGATTAAATACTACTTCGTATTGAATGTTTCACTTTGGGAGGCAAGGCAGGGGTGCAGCGCTGTGCAAACAATGCTTCTTAATAGGAAGCCGTGGCTTCTGCTTTGTACTAGGGGCTGGGACACAAAGCAATCAGGGGCAGACTCAGTAACAGCTGGAATGGTGCAACCTTGCCACAATACTAATTTCACTTAAAAAAAAATGCACTTTTATACAACAAAAAAAGGGGTCACTCTTAAAGCACCTGAGTAAGATGAAGGGCTTTAGGGATGTGGAGTTTTCCTTTAACTATAAATATCAGTTTAACACATCCTGTTGAGAATGCTTGGTTACTCTACCCCCAACATTCTCACCTTCCTTCAGACCGCATGAAATTGACACTGAAGTATCAATGCTGCCAGGGGAGGATTGCGATCGCTGAGTGCTGGGTTTATGTAAAACTTCCTGAATGGTCTAAAGTTAAGCCAGGGGACAAATCCGGCACTCGAATCAACATAATCACTGCCGCTTAAACGGATAGTAGAGGAAAAGAACCAAAATTACTTCATCTTAATGAAGTGATTTAGTTTCTTAATCTTACTGTGTAAAATTTGTGCACCAACCAGTGGCTGTCAGACCACACAAACATTGTGCGCCTGCATGCAAAGTATGATGAAGCCAAATGCAGTGTGACCAGTGCTTCAATACTTTTCATAGAGAATGCACCATGTGTGTCCTCAATGCTGCTCTATGAGAGACATCTGATAGGACATCGTTCATTAAGCTACTGATCTTAGTAGATGGATCGGGATGCAGTGATAGACAGTCCTAGAACTGGAATAATGTTCTGTTTAAGGACTTTTGTAAAAACTTTTTTAGCTGCACTTTATTATCACCATTTATATAGCGCCAACAGATTCAGTAGCGCTTTACAATATAATGAGAGGGGAGGTTTAACTATAAATAGGACAATTACAAGAAAACTTACAGGAACGATAGGTTGAAGAAGACCCTGCTCAAACGAGCTTACATTCTATAGGAGATGGGGTATAAAACACGTTAGGACTTTAGATTGTAAGATTCCAAGCTTTCTTTATAGCGATTTATATAAAAGTGCCACAAATGTTACATTAAATCACATGGGCAGCGATTTATACCAGTCTAAGCATGCATCCCTCTATAATGTGATATACGATTAACTGCTAGTTCTGTAAATTGCTCTAGATTAGAATGCTTTGTTAATCCATCCAATTCAATATAACAACCACAAAAAAACAGTCAAAAATGATTTATTAAGGCAGCAAGAATCTTACAAACGTATTTTGAATGCACATGATAGGAATCTGCATACCATTGTGTGATATAAGTTACCAAACTGGAATTGCCTTTTTAGACCAAAATACATGATTAGTAAAAATTCAGCCTTAAATGCAATTCTCTGTAGTTCTGTGTAATATGCTGAGATAGCAGGATAGTTATATAAGGGGCGATAGTTTGTGGAATGTTTTGTATTAATGCTAGATTAGAAAAATATAGCCTTGTGTGCAATCCACAAATCACATTTTTTAAAGATAATTTTTAAACCATTTGCTTATGTGTCCACAAATGTTCTCACATTCTTTAAAGATTAAAGGTTCTAGCAGCTTCAAGACAATGCCACTGTTTGCAGTGCACTTTGGCTGCTGTCTAATAGACTTTAAACCTACTTTAAGTGGTGGCATTGTGTCTTGAAGTGGTTGAGTGCTGTAATGTCTCTCCAGGATTTTCCTGTGGTTTTAATTCCCAGTTTTTCACAGAATTGTATAAAATGATTGAGAGCAGATACTGGGACAGTGGAAATGATGTGCATTAAGACTAGTTATATTTCCTTTATTGGAAGAGATCTAGAGTAAGGTCTTTCCTGTATGGATAGGAAGTCTGTGTTCCTGGAGACTGGACACTCACTGATGCAATGTAGTTCGACCTTTTCACCATTTCTTCTATGCTGAGATGAGGATAATGGGCGATGTAGAAAGCGAGAGCTCCAACAAAACAGTCCCCAGCTCCCTAAAAGATAATAATAGAACATCATGTCATAATGGGTATAGATAATAGTCTATGGGAATCATCCAATCAGATCACACCATTATGGTACAGTTATATGCTAACTGGAAACATCCAATCAAACTCAACATCACACCCCCATGGGTACAAATAATATCCAATGGGAATCATGCACGCATAGGTCACTATCCTATACCACACTTAGAAGACAACCGTTGATGAACGCCCAATCAGAAAATGGATACACATAGCAGTTAGCCAATGGGAAACATTCAGACAGCATAGGAAAAATAACATTATTGTGCCATTTGGAGTTTCTTCATTGTGCTATGAACTATTACAAATATTGTTAAATACACTTCACAGAATAACGAGGGAAGCAATTCTAGTAATTCACAGAATATTTCATATCCCACTGTTAAAGGAAAGCTCTATATAAGTCATTTGTAACAGTAGCGACTGGCCACAATTCCTGCAACAGATTTATTACTGAAATTTCAGTTCCGGTAAAAAGGGAGAAAGTGGGACTTCCAATGCAGACCGCAGGGGGAATGGGTGCCCCTAGCTGGCGAGAGTCAAGAAGTATCTCTTACAGAAACGAATCGGATAATATTAAAGGACCACTCTAGGCACCCAGACCACTTCAGCTTAATGAAGTTGTCTGGGTGCCAGGTCCAGCTAGGGTTAACCCATTTTTTAATAAACATAGCAGTTTCAGAGAAACTGCTATGTTTATGAATGGGTTAAGCCTTCCCCCTAATCCTCTAGTGGCTGTCTCATTGACAGCCACTAGAGGCGCTTGCGTGCTTCTCACTGCGATTTTCACAGTGAGAGCACGCAAGCGTCCATAGGAAAGCATTGTAAATGCTTTCCTATGCGACGGGCTGAATGCGCGCGCAGCTCTTGCCGCGCGTGCGCATTCAGCCGGCGGGGAGGAACGGAGGAGGAGAGAAGGAGGAGAGCTCTCCGCCCAGCGCTGGAAAAAGGTAAGTTTTAACCCCTTTCCCCTTTCCAGAGCCGGGCGGGAGGGGGTCCCTGAGGGTGGGGGCACCCTCAGGGCACTATAGTGCCAGGAAAACGAGTATGTTTTCCTGGCACTATAGTGGTCCTTTAACATTTTGCCTGAGGACTTCCATAACACCTCTTATCAACTAAAATCAAATGTCACTGCAGCCTATACCATTTAGGGCTGTGTCTGCAAGAGCTCTTTCTAGACCTTCTTTGGGATGGCTCTTTGTGAGAGAAGACCTCATTGACAGGGCAGATCCTACTGGTTTTGTTGCTCGGGAACAGCTGGCCATTATATTACAGAGGACCATTACTGCAGACAGCTTTGGCACCCTCTTGGCTCTAATGCAGGGAGATGTACGCTTGGTCTTGTTCTTTGGATCTATTTGCAGTAATTAATTAAAGGAACACTCAAGACACGAGGCAACATGCTAAAGTGCTTTGAGTCTGCAGTCTGTCATTGTTTAGAGACGTCAATGAATAGAAAGATCCATGGGCGGTTCCACCAATGAGAAGCCTATGATTGGTCAATTCACTGGTGCAGGGGAAAAAGGGATGGATTGCAAAGCTGCGGAAACTAGAGTTTTCCATTATTGCCATGACTGCTAACAGTCGGTTAGTAGGTTACTACCAGTTAGCAGGCCACCAATTAGCTAGTTAATCAGAGATTAGGTAACTGGTAACCTCTTAGAGACAATTCCCTCAATGCTTTCACATAGCTCAGAATCTCAAGCTATGCCTGCCCTGTCCCTTCTTCCCACTTTATAAACCAATTATTACTAAAGTGAGAATCTAATTTAACGACAAAGTAGCCAAACTGACAACAGATCTCCAGTTTAGCTATTGTGACCATAAATTTAGATTTAGGCATTCTGGGCCGACAGCATCCAATCCATGGGTAAAAACAATTTACTTTGTTACTATAAAATCTATACAATAAGAAGGTGGTAATAGAGCTGTGGGAGGATAGATTGCCACGTCTACCGTCTGTTATTATTGTTATTATTTATATAGCGCCAACGATATTCCGCAGCGCTTTACAATGGGTGGACGAACAGACATGTATTTGTAACCAGACAAGTTGGACACACAGGAACAGAGGGGTTGAGGGCCCTGCTCAATGAGCTTACATGTTAGAGGGAGTGGAATATAGTGACAGTAACAGAGGGGTTGAGGGCCTGCTCAGTGAGCTTACATGTTAGAGGGAGTGGGGTATAGTGACAGTAACAGAGGGATTGAGGTTCTGCTCAGTGAGTTTACATGCTAGAGGGAGTGGGGTATAGTGACACAGTAACAGAGGGATTGAGGGCCCTGCTCAGTGAGTTTACATGTTAGAGGGAGTGGGGTATAGTGACACAGTAACAGAGGGATTGAGGGCCTGATCAGTGAGTTTACATGTTAGAGGGAGTGGGGTATAGTGACACAGTAACAGAGGGATTGAGGGCCCTGCCCAGTGAGGTTTACATGTTAGAGGGAATGGGGTATAGTGACACATAACAGAGGGATTGAGGGCCCTGCTCAGTGAGTTTACATGTTAGAGGGAGTGGGGTATAGTGACACAGTAACAGAGGGATTGAGAGCCTGCTCAGTGAGTTTACATGTTAGAGGGAGTGGGGTATAGTGACACAGTAACAGAGGGTTGAGGGCCCTGCTCAGTGAGTTTACATGTTAGAGGGAGTGGGGTATAGTGACACAGTAACAGAGGGATTGAGGGCCCTGCTCAGTGAGTTTACATGTTAGAGGGAGTGGGGTATAGTGACACAGTAACAGAGGGATTGAGGGCCTGCTCAGTGAGTTTACATGTTAGAGGGAGTGGGGTATAGTGACACAGTAACAGAGGGATTGAGGACCTGCTCAGTGAGGTTACATGTTAGAGAGAGTGGGGTATAGTGACACAGTAACAGAGGGATTGAGGGCCATGCTCAGTGAGTTTACATGTTAGAGGGAGTGGGGTATAGTGACACAGTAACAGAGGGATGCTCAGTGAGTTTACATGGAGGGAGTCACAGTAACAGAGGGATTGAGGGCCTGCTCAGTGAGCTTAAATGCTAGAGGGAGTGGGGGTATAGTGACACAGTAACAGAGGGATTGAGGGCCCTGCTCAGTGAGTTTACATGTTAGAGGGAGTGGGGTATAGTGACACAGTAACAGAGGGATTGAGGGTCCTGCTCAGTGAGTTTACATGTTAGAGGGAGTGGGGTAAAATGACACAAAAGGTAAGGATAGTATTAAACTAATGACCGTTGCAAGAGAGGAATCAGTCGGGAGCTATTAACAGTTTAATTGATACGTTTTTATGAAGAAGTGGGTTTTTAACGATATTTTGAAGGAGTGGAGACTGGGTGAGCATCTAACGGAGGAGGGAAGTGAGTTCCACAGGAACGGTGCAGCCCTGGAGAAATCTTGAAGGCGAGCATCAGAGGTGGGAGTACGGACAGAATATACAATATTTATATGGGGTATATACTATATACATTGCTTATATAGGGTATATGTACTATATACAATATATAGGGTATATGTACTATATGCAATATTTCTATAGGGTATATGTACTATGTACATTGCTTATATAGGGTATATGTACTATATGCAATATTTCTATAGGGTATATGTACTATGTACATTGCTTATATAGGGTATATGTACTATATGCAATATTTCTATAGGGTATATGTACTATATACATGACTTATATAGGGTATATGTACTATATGCAATATATATATATAGGGTATATGTACTATATACATTGCTTATATAGGGTATATGTACTATATGCAATATTTCTATAGGGTATATGTACTATATACATGACTTATATAGGGTATATGTACTATATGCAATATTTATATAGGGCATATACATTGCTTATATAGGGTATATGTACTATATGCAATATTTATATAGGGCATATACATTGCTTATATAGGGTATATGTACTATATGCAATATTTCTATAGGGTATATGTACTATATACATGACTTATATAGGGTATATGTACTATATGCAATATTTATATAGGGCATATACATTGCTTATATAGGGTATATGTACTATATGCAATATTTATATAGGGCATATGTACTATATACATGACTTATATAGGGTATATGTACAATATACATTACTTATATCAGGGGTCAAGCCATGGGGAATAAAGTGTGACTCACCCAAGATCCCCCCCCCCCCAAAATAATATACACTCGTATGCATATATAAACACGTGCGCGCACACACGCTGACAGGTGCACACACACACACTCAGTCACATACACTCACACTCATACATAAACACTTGCGCAGACACACACACACACACACACACTCACAGATACACACACTCACTCACAGAGACACACAAATTATTATTTTTTTAAATTTAAAAATGTCCACCCAGCCTCCCTACCTGGAGAGCTGGAGTGGACCTGTCCCTGGGGTCCAGTAGGGCTTCAGTGCAGCAGGCGCCTGTCTTCCGGTCAGACACGGCGAGGAAGCTGTGTTTTCTCTGCTCTGCTCCCTCTCACCGCGCGGGCTGTCTACTGATTCCGGAGCTGGAATATGACTTCATTTTTTGCCGCCCCCTGAGTGCCTGCAGGAGCAACAGGAACGGTGTTCCTGCTGTAAAAAAAGTGCAGGAACACCGTTCCCACGCGTTCCTGCAGGCAGGGCCGGTGCTACCTGTAAGGCGACCTAGGCAGCCGCCTAGGGCGCACCTTAGCAGGGGGTGCCGGATCCCAGCGCCTGGCGGCTCCTCATGCTGCGCCGCCTGAGCGTTTTAGAAATCTTTAGGCGGCGCAGCACTGCTGTGGAGAGCGGCCGGATTTGAGTGACCGGCAGGAGGGAAGCGCAGAGCGCTCCCTCCTTCCGGTCTCTCAATGTAGCGTGACCTCTGTTTCCTGTACCCAGCTGCCGGTGGATTGACAGGAAGTGAGCACTTCCCTTCAGACCGCCGGAGGCCGGGTACAGGAAACAGAAGTTCCTGTCCCGCGTTCCGCGCCGCCCGGCCACACTACATAAACAGGAGGGAAGAGGAGGGTAAGGATCACAGGAGGAGAGGAGGAGAAGGACCACTGGGGGAAGGACCACTAGGGACCCACTAGAAGGACCACTGGGGAGAACCACTGGGAGAAGGACCACTGGAAGGGAGAAGGACCACTGGAAGAGGGGAGACCACTGGGGATATGGGGAAGAAGGACCACTGGGGGATATGGGGGAAGGACCACTGGGGATATGGGGAAGGACCACTGGGGGATGGGACCACTGGGATGAGGGGACACTGGGGATGAGGGAAAGGACCACTGGGGGATGAGGGGGGGAAAGGACCACTGGGGATGAAAGGACCACTGGGGGAGGAGAGTAAGGACCACTGGGGGAGGAGAGGGATGGGGAGTAATAACCAGTGGGGGAGGAAGGGGGGGAGTTAGGGCCACTGGGGAAGGGGGGTGAAGGAACACAGGGGGAGGGGGGGTGGGTAGTAAGGGCCACTGAGGGAGGAGGGGGCTGGTCCACTAAGGGGTTTGGGAGAGGGAGGACCACCAAAGGGGGGTAAGTAGGGAGGACCACTAAGGAGAGGGGAGGAGGGTAAAGACCACTAAGGGAGGGAGAAAGAGGATAATGACCACTGAGGGGGGAGAAAGAGGATAATGACCACTGAGGGGAGGAGATTACCACTAAGGGGGTGGGGGGGAGGAGGGGAATGTCTACTAAGGGGTTTGGGAGAGGGAGTACCACTAAGGGGAGGGATGGAGGACCACTAAGGGGGAGAGAGGGGAGTGAGAAGACCACCAAGGGGGGATCACAGGGGGCTAAGGGAGAGCACTAAGGGACAGAAGGAGAGAACACGGAGGGACAGGAGGGAAGGGGAAATCAATAAATGACAGGAGGGGAGAGCACTATGAAAAAAATAAAAAATAAAGAATTGCTCCCCTCTCAGTCCCTATCCTACCCCACAAACCTTCTCTTTTACACTACACACATACACAATGCATCCCCCCCCCACACACACAGAAACATACAATGCATTCCTACTCATACACAGACACACCCGAAACACACAATGCATCCCTTACGTTCACACAAACACTCATTCTCTTACACACAGAAACAAAATGCATCTCTTACACAATCAATGCACCCCTTACAGACACACACTGCATTCAATTAAATACACAGAAACACACCTTGCACCCCTTACATACACACACCCAGAAACATACACTGCATTCACTATACACACACTACATCCCTTACAGAAATTGGTATCCCTATACACTACATTCTATAAGAACACACACACACATCCCCTACACACATACACTCCACTTCCTGTGAGAGAACTCATGGGTGGGCCATGTAGCTGGATTTATGGGTGGGCATACTCACGGTCAAGCCCTGGGGGCCCAGACCTTGAGCTGTGTAAGGGGCCCTAAAAAATGGAGCTGCTTCCTGTTCGTTAATTGTTGTGAGCACTGTTACAGTCTCCAGAGAGCCTTTTATACACTAGACATGTGGAGCCAGACAGAGCCCATCATCAGCCTCTTGTCCTCATCTGGTGGTAAGTAAGCAATCCAATATATATTAGTGGTACTAATCTCTAATTTACCTCACATTAAATGGATACTATAGTCACCAGAAGCACTGCAGCATAATGTAGTGGTTCTGGTGTCTATAGCCTGTGCCTGTAGGCTTTTTAATGTAAACACACTGTCTTTTCAGATAAAAGACACTTTGTGCAGACTGGCGTTGGCCCATTTGGCAGAGCATATGGGCGGGGCATTGTGATGTCACATGGTGAGCAGGACATATGGGGGGGGCGGCAAAATTTTTTTTTGCCTAGGGCGGCAAAAATCCTTGCACCAGCCCTGCCTGCAGGACTCGAGCCCTGACTTATTTACAGTATATGCTGTATTTCAGTAACTGTACAGTAAGAAGGATTATAGGTGTAATAGGATTATAGTAGACGGGAAGAGGCTAGCTCTCCAGGTATACAGTCAGTACCATTATATATTACTTATAAACGTTATATATAAAGTGTAACAGTTAGTATGAACATAGAATAGACAAAATGATTTCAATGATTATAAAGAAACGAGCATTGAATCGCATGTGGCCAGGGTGGGAATAATGTGTAATATCATTCTTTTCATATTTTATGTTATGCACTTATTTTAATTCTATGCATTTTTTAAATTTAGTTTCTATAAAAAAAATTTATTATTATTTACCTACGTAATCTTTCCCTTTGCCTGCACAGCCATTTTGGAAGATCTTGAGTCAGAATCTGTTTTTAACTGACCCAAATTCACTCTGACCTGCAATAGATGCTGCTCGATCACATAGTAATAGTGCAATCAAGTCTTCATAGTTTCATGTTTCCTCTCTGCTGAGCCCGTACTACTCACAACTGTTAAAAGGACACTGCAGTAAGCCAGACTATGTAAATCAAGTCGTCTATGTGCAGTGGTCAGGCATGTTTAACCACACAAGGTAAAACATTGCTGATTTGTAGAAAGGGCAATGATACATTGAAGGGTTAAACACGCCTCCAGTAACTGTCATACTGACAGCCACTAGAGGCTCCTCCTTTATAAGGAGCATGTGATTGGACCATCGCCGGAGGTGGTCACGCCTAGCCAATGATGTCATGGGAGGCGGATACGTGAGTTGCACCAAGAAAGCCTCAGAATTGGAGGCAGAATATTACTAGGTCACAGGGGCACAATAGCATTACAAATACAGGTTTGCATTTCTAATAGTGTTCCTTTAACTAGCAGCAGCAAGGTAGGTGAAAGTTTTCTTGGTTTGCATGACGGTTGATTCCGATCTCAAATCAGGGGAAAGGGGGAACATAAGTAAAAAAAAAAAAAAGGCAGAAGGAATGACTAAAGAAAAGCTGCATACACTGAAAGTAAGGGCATAAAACTTTTAACAAAAATAAAGAAATAAAGTGACAGTTTTTCTTTAAGACAATTACAGCAATTTAGATTTTTTTTAAACAGACATGTAATATTTTTTTTTGTTGTTGTCTAGACTTTGAAAGCCATTTATTAATATTCTTTTCACTTTTACGAGCAGACTTTTCCCTGTCGCCTCCCAGCAGTCAGATGCCCCTTGCTCTCTTTTGTTTCAAGACGTTTCCTTTTGGCAGGATTAGAGCCATTTACCGATAAATGCATAGGCTGCCACATGGGCTGGTCTATGGCTATTTATATGTTGTAGATGGGACTTGGATATGCCGCTCAGCTTTTGATTACCATCTATTTTGGTCGAATAGTTTAAGACTGATGGAAAGTATTTTTTAAAGTAGGATTGTACTATTGTAATCCATGCTGTGTTATTGTCCTGTCACTATCCCAAAATAAAGTGCTTTCAATCGATAACACTTAGGGCTATATGGTCCACAGGAGGATCCATTTGTAGTATTTGCAGTCAAACATCACGTTAATGGGACCGAAATAGCCAATCATTTATCTCAGGCTAAGTGCTGCTCTGCGTGTCGGTACAGAGACTGTACGACAATGATTTAAGAAGTTAAATAAACACGACTGAATCACACTCTGGGTGTTAAATTGGAGCAAATAGATCATGTAATATCTGCAAAATATTGTGTTCATGATTGTGAAATTGGTGCAATCAAGAAAAAGACAGTCTGAGTGACATGATTGAAAGCAATAATGTGACCTAATAACAAGCTTGTCAAACTTTAAACAGATTGTTACAAACAGATGGAAGATAGCTTCACGAAACGTGTAGTTTATGGCCTCTCCGTGTTCTGGATAAAAGTGCTATATAAAACCGGATTAAAAAAAAATACCTTTATCTACACATCCATCTAGATTTATACATTTTACCAGGCTTTTACAATAAATGATATCAGAGAAACTGCTATGTTTACACTAGGGTTAATCCAGCCTCTAGTCTCATTGACAGCCACTAGAGCCGCTTCCGCGCGTCTCACAGTGATAAGGCGCTGCCGTCCATAGGAAAGCATTGAGAAATGCTTTCCTATGGACTGATTGAATGCGCGCGCGGCTCTTGCCGTGCATGTGCATTCAGCGGATAACGTCGGAAGAGGGAGGAGTTTAACCCCGGGCTGAAGGTAAGAGTTTAACCCCTTCAGGAGTGGGACCCTGAGGGTGGTGGGGGACCCAAAAACCCTGTAGAGCCAGGAAAACGATGTTTAATGAGTACGGCTGCTTTTAGAGGTTATGGTGCAACATGTCTGTTATACAATTTTGAGAGAGTTTTACAAGTTTATCTCATCTGTGTGTTTTCTAATGACTGTCTAGGATTTGAGTCCTAATTGGAAATCATCTAGATCACAACACAGTATCATTATCATTTTTATCTAAAAATACATTGCTTCCATTAAGAATAAATACATAACATAAAAGTCCCATAGCTTTTACATATATATTTCAACTGCTCACAGTATGCTATTCAAAAAACACTAAAAAGGGTTTTTAACCTGGTAAAAAAAACTTTTAAAAATATAATTCTTATTAGGTACATATTTATAACAATTTAAACTTTCATAACAAAGAAACATGTCTAATTAATGAATAATATAATTAAACAGATTGTAAAGAATCGCACTCTATAAACAATAAATACGCTCGGCCAAACCTGCAATAGGCAACGGGTCATATTACATGTTATGTGCACATTACTACAAAAAAAGGAAGAATCGGAAACGTGTAACAAAGAGAAGATAGGCAGACACTGACACGGAAATAGTGGTAGTCAGTGTGACGCTATCAAATTAAAGCTACTCTGTGTTAAAAAGTCCATCCATCCGTGTTCAGCTTACACAGTGGAATAATACCATCACATCTCCTAATTTCTCAGTAAAACGCATCATGCACAGTCAGTGTGGAAAAAGAACTATTACAATCAAATATTTATCAGAGAAATATAGAGGAAAGGCTTTAAAGCTATTTTTGTCTATTATCTATATATAGCTAACAATAACCAAATAACGTTAACAGTACACTTCAATAATTCTTCCATTTTTCTGACCCACAAAAATCCATTACACTCAAGGGAAAAATAATGAGCAATTAAAAGTTATTTCCATTTTTTACTTTTTTTCTTATCATGCCAGTAAATATATTTATTAGTAAGTATGTGTATCCTCTCTATATATGGATTATGATGAGAAATAATGCCATCAATCTGAAGATGTTACAATGAATCCCAAGGCCGCAGGCTGAGCAGTCTGATAATGTCTCAGGAACGTTGATGAATGGAATTAGTGTTTGATTTTTTTAAACTGAGGCAAATATCATTGTTACATGTGCCGATTATAGTGATCTCCACAATTCAAATTATCATCATGTTGTACATTTATGTGATAGCTTAAATGGACACTTTGGGCACCATAACAACTTCATCACCCTTAGTCTATTAATGGCTCCATCCTCTGGAGCCTTTGTTTTAGTTCATTATGAAGCCTCACTCGCGTGCGTGTGTGTGTGATACTCATTTACGCGCACACACATACACGAAATGAGTATCCGTACTATGTATAAATTATAGCGCTGACATAGCTGAACGGTCTCTGGCCCAAGCACTAAGCTGCTCCTCCAATAACTTTGTGTGATACGGGCTTTTGTTTGGAAACCATTTCCTCTATTTATCCTCTTTGTCAACCGATAACTAGATCATAGCTAATAAATCTGAAATAAAGCGACTTTAGCAGGCATTTCTGATGTATTAATTAGCAGCCTGTTAAATTCAAGGTGCACTTTTCTCAAGCTATTCATCAACCATAACAGGCCCCCAGACCGCACAGAATTGAAAAGGTGAGCGCAGACGGCTGTAAGCTCTTTAAGCAGCCTGCAGATCAAAGCGTGACAAGGTTATTTTAAAAGAAACACGCCGTGATCAGAAAAGAAATTAGAAAAAAAAATCTAGTGCTGCTATGATTTATTCCATTAACTAATCTTAAAATGCATTTTTACTTAAGCCATCCAAAACTTTTTGCCTAAAAATCTATTGTTTACAATAGGGAATCATTCAATAATAAAAAGTGATTTTTCTCTCTCTCTGTCTTTTTTTTTTTTTTTTAAACCAAAACAACTGTGTAGTGGCAGCAAATGGTCAGATAAGTGTTTGGGAGCTAGAGACAGACAGTTATGTAAACATTATAAATAAAAATAAAAATTAACAGGTTCTACATGTTTAAACCAAGTAGGTTTGTTTCTCATTTGTCCTCCAGCCTCCCAGGACAGTGGTTCCCAAACATTTTCTACTCGAGTACCCCCCTTGGCAGCCCATTTCTATAAATTGTACCCTTCATATTAGCAAAATGTTTGTAATGAATGTACTTGCTGTTATTTCAAATGTATATGTTTTCCCTGCCCAATCTCCCCTTTTACTCAGCCCAAACTCTACCTGCCCAGTCATATGCATGTGTGTATATATATATATATATATATTGCAGATACACACACATGCAGATACACAGATACAAACACTGACACATGTGGATGCACAGACACACAATTAGAAACAATGACAAACATACACAGACACACAGATACAAACACAGATATGCAGATACAAACAAAAACAAAATCACACAGATACAAACACTGACACAGAAACAACCACTGACACATATACAGATGCACAGGCACAAATATACAAACACTGCCACACATGCAGTTTCACAGATACAAACACTGCCATACATGCAGTTAATCAGACACACTGATACACAACCTGCCACAAATGTAGATGCACATACTGACACACATACAGATGTTCAGACACGCAGATACAAACACTGCCACACATGTGGATACCCAGACACAAAGAAAGACATATAGATACATACACTGACACATGCAGATACAGAGAGACACAGATACAAACACTGCCACACCTGCAGATGCATAGACATTCAGACACAAACACTGCCACACATGCAGAAACCCAGACACACAGATACAGACATACGGATACACATACTGACACACATGCAGATACAGACACACAGATACAAACACTTGCACACATGTGGATACACAGACACACAGATACCAACAATAACAGACACAAACACTGCCACACTGCACAGGCACACAGATAAAACAAAACACTGCCACACATGCAGAAACCCAGACACACAGATAAAGACATACAGATACACAGACTAACATGTGCAGATACAAACACACAGATACAAACATGCCACACATGCAGATACAGACACAAAGATACAAGTAATGACACATACATACAGATACAAACACTGACACATGCAGATGCACAGACACAAACAATGATACACACATACAGGTCACAATTTTAGCCACAATCCAGACCTTTTAGGTCTGCTGGTTGTGGTTGGTAGAAGTTATGGGCTTGATCCTCTCCCGGTCCGGCCCTCCCACTGGTCCCCTCCTCTTGTGCGGCTCAGTCTGAGTCTGTGTCTCTCACTTCCTCCCAGCTCTACCTGCAGATTAGAAGGGGCCCAGTCCCTATTAAAGTGCCGCAGCACACGACCGGCCCCTGAAGACATATGGATGAACCCGTTCACCATATGGTTACCAACCAGAAAATCAATTACTGACATAAAATAAATTGATAGAGATAGGATCCCCCATAAAATAAATTGATAGAGATTTAAGTTCCCATAAAATAAACTGATGGAGCTTTGATCCCCCATAAAATAAATTGGAGATTTGATCCCCCATAAAATAAACTGATGGAGATATAAGCTCCCATAAAATAAATTGATGGAGCTTTGATCCCCCATAAAATAAATTGGAGATTTGATCCCCCATAAAATAAATTAACGGAGATATGATCCCCCATAAAATAAATTGATGGAGCTTTGATCCCCCATAAAATAAATTGGAGATATGATCCCCCATAAAATAAATTGATGGAGATAGGATCCCCCATAAAATAAATTGATGGAGATGTGATCCCTCATAAAATAAATTGATGGAGATAGGATCCCCCATAAAATAAATTGATGGAGATAAAAGCTCCCATAAAATAAATTGATGGAGATATGACCTCACATAAAATATATTGATGGAGATATGGGCTCCCATAAAATAAATTGATGGAGCTTTGATCCCCCATAAAATAAATTGGAGATATGATCCCCCATAAAATAAATTGATGGAGATAGGATCCCCCATAAAATAAATTGATGGAGATGTGATCCCTCATAAAATAAATTGATGGAGATAGGATCCCCCATAAAATATATTGATGGAGATATGAGCTCCCATAAAATAAATTGATGGAGCTTTGATCCCCCATAAAATAAATTGGAGATATGATCCCCCATAAAATAAATTGATGGAGATAGGATCCCCCATAAAATAAATTGATGGAGATGTGATCCCTCATAAAATAAATTGATGGAGATAGGATCCCCCATAAAATAAATTGATGGAGATATGAGCTCCCATAAAATAAATTGATGGAGATAGGATCCCCCATAAAATAAATTGATGGAGATGTGATCCCTCATAAAATAAATTGATGGAGCTTTGATCCCCCATAAAATAAATTGATGGAGATGTGATCCCTCATAAAATAAATTGATGGAGATATGAGCTCCCATAAAATAAATTGATGGAGATAGGATCCCCCATAAAATAAATTGATGGAGATGTGATCCCTCATAAAATAAATTGATGGAGCTTTGATCCCCCATAAAATAAATTGATGGAGCTTTGATCCCCCATAAAATAAATTGATGGAGCTTTGATCCCCCATAAAATAAATTGATGGAGCTTTGATCCCCCATAAAATAAATTGATGGAGATATGAGCTCCCATAAAATAAATTGATGGAGATATGAGCTCCCATAAAATAAATTGATGGAGATATGAGCTCCCATAAAATAAATTGATGGAGATAGGATCCCCCATAAAATAAATTGATGGAGATGTGATCCCTCATAAAATAAATTGATGGAGATAGGATCCCCCATAAAATAAATTGATGGAGATAAAAGCTCCCATAAAATAAATTGATGGAGATATGACCTCACATAAAATATATTGATGGAGATATGGGCTCCCATAAAATAAATTGATGGAGCTTTGATCCCCCATAAAATAAATTGGAGATATGATCCCCCATAAAATAAATTGATGGAGATAGGATCCCCCATAAAATAAATTGATGGAGATGTGATCCCTCATAAAATAAATTGATGGAGATAGGATCCCCCATAAAATATATTGATGGAGATATGAGCTCCCATAAAATAAATTGATGGAGCTTTGATCCCCCATAAAATAAATTGGAGATATGATCCCCCATAAAATAAATTGATGGAGATAGGATCCCCCATAAAATAAATTGATGGAGATGTGATCCCTCATAAAATAAATTGATGGAGATAGGATCCCCCATAAAATAAATTGATGGAGATATGAGCTCCCATAAAATAAATTGATGGAGATAGGATCCCCCATAAAATAAATTGATGGAGATGTGATCCCTCATAAAATAAATTGATGGAGCTTTGATCCCCCATAAAATAAATTGATGGAGATGTGATCCCTCATAAAATAAATTGATGGAGATATGAGCTCCCATAAAATAAATTGATGGAGATAGGATCCCCCATAAAATAAATTGATGGAGATGTGATCCCTCATAAAATAAATTGATGGAGCTTTGATCCCCCATAAAATAAATTGATGGAGCTTTGATCCCCCATAAAATAAATTGATGGAGCTTTGATCCCCCATAAAATAAATTGATGGAGCTTTGATCCCCCATAAAATAAATTGATGGAGATATGAGCTCCCATAAAATAAATTGATGGAGATAGGATCCCCCATAAAATAAATTGATGGAGATATGAGCTCCCATAAAATAAATTGATGGAGATATGATCCCCCATAAAATAAATTGATGGAGATGTGATCCCTCATAAAATAAATTGATGGAGCTTTGATCCCCCATAAAATAAATTGATGGAGCTTTGATCCCCCATAAAATAAATTGATGGAGCTTTGATCCCCCATAAAATAAATTGATGGAGCTTTGATCCCCCATAAAATAAATTGATGGAGATATGAGCTCCCATAAAATAAATTGATGGAGATATGAGCTCCCATAAAATAAATTGATGGAGATATAAGCTCCCATAAAATAAATTGATGGAGCTTTGATCCCCCATTCCCAACCCATGAACGTTAGTTTATCAGGGTTACTCACTACAGTAAGTGAATTTCCAATTTAAGGCCAGAGCAGCCAAAGTGAAAGGCAGCATATTTAATATTTTTCCATTTTGACTATATTGACCATAAATTTTAAATTCACTTTGAATTCTCACCTTAGTGAAAAACTCTGTGTTTGTGTTCTCCACGGCATAATTTACACACAAGTGAAATCTGAACCTATTAAATAAAGGTATTGTTGCCGATGTTAAATCACATTGTTATTTAATGATGGGTCGAACACTCTCTCCACTCACAGGATACACATGTCTGGGGCAAAAATTTAAATCACAGATCAGAGGGATAGGTTAGGAATCTTGGAAATGGGAAGTTGGACAATTGACAACACGTTTAGGGGATAATAATAATGTTGGACGGTCTGTCCCCTCCCTTTACACATACCAAGGTAAGGCTCAGCCTGGGGATTCCTCAGCTCCCTCTGGGACCCATCAAGAAAGCAGATACTTTGGGATCTTTTCCCACTTCCTGGCTGATTTAGAGGTGACTCACTAAAGAGTCAGTGTTGGCTATTAACCCCTGCATTCCAATGCCATGACTGATTGTAGATAACCCCTGCCTCTCATTATACACAATCCATTTTACAGAAAGAAAGATGTGGCCGAATTCCTTTCCCAATCATTCTTTAACCCGAAGTGAAAGAGGGCGAGTAAAGCAAGCTAAACCAGGATTTGCCAATAAGTAAACCTAAGCTTCTGCATTCAGCAACAACAATAGAACAAGCTCAGAATTCAAGACTGGGCAAATCCATGCACGCTCATAGGTTATTATTATTATTATTATATTTATAGAGCGCCGTCAAATTCCGCAGCGCTTTACAATGGGTTATCTGCAAATATCAGAATTTGGGGTTTATTGTGGATATCAATGTATGGTATATATTATGTACATGTATATATCTATTATTATAAAGTTCTGCAGCGTGCTAGATTAGGTAGACTGACAAGTTATACACTCAGACACATTACTGGGAGTATTATTACTGTGGAGCTCTGTTATACACTCAGACACATTACTGGGAGTATTATTGCTGTGGAGCTCTGTTATACACTCAGATACATTACTGGGAGTATTATTGCTGTGGAGCTCTGTTATACACTCAGACACATTACTGGGAGTATTATTGCTGCGGAGCTCTGTTATACACCAAGACACATTACTGGGAATATTATTACTGTGGAGCTCTGTTATACACTCAGACACATTACTGGGAGTATTATTGCTGTGGAGCTCTTATACACTCAGACACATTACTGGGAGTATTATTACTGTGGAGCTCTGTTATACACTCAGACATTACTGGGAGTATTATTACTGTGGAGCTCTGTTATACACTCAGACACATTACTGGGAGTATTATTGCTGTGGAGTTCTGTTATACACTCAGACACATTACTGGGAGTATTATTGCTGTGGAGCTCTGTTACACACTCAGACACATTACTGGGAGTATTATTACTGTGGAGTTCTGTTATACACTCAGACACATTACTGGGAGTATTATTACTGTGGAGCTCTGTTATACACTCAGACATTACTGGGAGTATTATTACTGTGGAGCTCTGTTATTCACTCAGACACATTACTGGGAGTATTATTACTGTGGAGCTCTGTTATACACACAGACATTTCTGGGAGTATTATTGCTGTGGAGCTCTGTTATACACACAGACACATTACTGGGAGTATTATTGCTGTGGAGCTCTGTTATACACTGAGGCTAATCACAGGCTGTACTCGTTTTTAATGCTGATTCAGACTTTATGTGGCGTACTCCATCAATATCCTGATTCAATGTTACTGCAGTTATACATGCTACTAAGAATTGAGTCACTCTGAACAGTACACTGGTTACTGGGATTCTGTATATATACATATTAATATCACACTCACATAGCGTGTTTTTATACCAGAAGTGACCCCTCATAGTGGGGTGACCCCCACGCTCACTACTATTATTACTATTACAGGGGTGACCCTCCTACGCTGGCTGAATCCCAGACGTGAATTACGCTGGAATCAGTGGCATAAGCAATTCAGGGGTGACCCCCCTCGCTGATGGGATGACCTACCACGATAATTTTTACATACATAATACGGCACCCTCCACACTACGACTGGGGTGACCCGTAAAACAACTCCTAATCACCAAGGAGGCAGAGAGTACTTCACTAAGGCTCCACTGGGCTATACTTATTGGGTGACCCCCAAATCATAATAAGGGCTCCACGCCCTGGACGGGCTGAGTCCCGATTACACGACTGCTCATCCCGGTCTCACAGAGGGTGACCCCCTCCCTAGCCCATATATATGTATACACATATATAATATACAGATATATATCTACCAACCAAGTGCTTGTGTCTATTTGGCGACACTGGGTGAACCCCGGTCGTAAGTGGAAGCCCACTGTATTATTATTCACGTACTTCTGTACCTGAACCTATCCTGTCTTCCACAGACAGAGAGACCTAACTACCACAATATGAGCGAATCACCGCAACCACCCCCACCCGACTTCCAGTCGATGATTAACACGGCTGTGGCAGCCTCAATGGAAAGGCTATCGCCAAGTTACTGGTCCAAAACCTGAAAGGGGACACAGACATGAAAGACACAGATAGGTCTACAGAGGAGATACAAAGTATCAATTAGGCTTAACAAGCTCCCGGTGGTATCCAATTCGTGCAGCTGTTCGGTTCCTGAACCATATAATCCAAATACACGAATGCAGACTTTTATTGTGCATATAACAGGGCCCATATGATGTGGGCAGGAGGCTGGCAAGCAGGCTCCTCCAGGAGCTCGTGGCAAACTCACATGGGAAGGGGAGTTTGTCACAACTGTATGCACCAGATTATCACTAGAGGAAAAAAAAAGTGTCATTTTGTGCATCATTTATTACGTTTATATATTGTACATATATTTGAAAACAGTTTACATTCTTTGTGTTTCTCTGATGAATAAAAATAAATATTAATTTTGACAAGATTTTCAGGGAAAAAAACAACAACTGAGTTTACACCCTAATGACATGTGTTGCACACACCTAAATTCATTGTTTGCAATAAACAGCTTAATTCATACTGCGTATTTCTCTTAACCACCAAAATAACCATCAAAATGTTGTACTATAGTGATATTTCCAACTCATATTTTTAGCCTAAAGGAAATGATAAACTAACTGCATTTACTGATCTATTTGAGTGTTGATGTAATTCTGAATTCCTTTATGACTACAAGATGTCCCTGGGACAAGATACAACACTCATCAAGCAGTCATCGGTCTGATCAATGATGCAGTCACAGCTCTCCAGCACGGAGATAAGGCCAGGACAGCAGGATGGTATATTCTATGTGTGATATTAATGTGCGAATGATTCAGGGCCTCCGTTCGTAGATCACAGGGTTGGGTTTGGTATCACGGCTGGATTTGGCTGTGAAGGGAGATCTTTGAATATCAGAAAATAATAAAAACATTTTTATACATTACTGGTTGGATGTTTACATGTTAAATATTCAGAAATCATTACGGTGAAGCCAAGCTCTCTGTCAGACTCTCTCTCTCCTCTCCACTGCTTAGAGTGCCTGCCTACACAGATAACCTTACTGATTGGAGTTTGGTTTAAACTTGTCACTCCATGGAATGGTAACATGTTACCAATGATCTCATAGTTTAAAATCCCAATGTCAGTGTGCTCTAATAATTCTGCACGATATCTCCACCACTATTTCAGAATTCCCTGATAATTTCCCATGATTTATCTCTTTTTCACCTTATCGTTGCACTCTTTACTTCATGTCATGACAACCCAACACCATTCCACCTGAATAATCATTCTTCCATTGATATTTCTCCTTCCTGGCGGGTCATGTGACAAATTAACTCTCCTGCTTCTGCAACTTAGTGTCAGCCTCCTTTATCACTCTAAACCTGTGCATCTTTGCTGTCCTCCCTCCAATACCAATCCCCCAATAAGTGTCCGTCTTAGGGTCAGTGAGACTCCTAACCACATGCTGAAGGCCTTTAGTTCAGTACTGACTCAATTATCTCATCCAATTAATCGCCAAATATTGATCAATTCTGGCCAATGCAAGGTCTCAATGGTTCAACTGTTCAGCCATTATGAGCTCAGGTTTGACCTTTACAATGGACCTTCACTACCAAGTTTTTCATATTTTTTTTCATCAAAAGAATCAGTGATTTTTAAGTATTATATAACTGCAATTTTTCATGTCAGTATTTGTACATATCAATTTGTTCAAACACAAAAATTCTATATCTTCGTTGAACTCTAACAGTGAAAAAACCCTGAAATGAGTTATAGAATAATGGATCTATGGAGTAGAATACAATATTTTATTTTCTAGCAATCAATATGTGAGACACGTGTACGCAGTAAGTTATGGTATTGATTACACTTGTTCACACATTATTAGTGATTAAACCGTTATTACTGTGCCACAAACACCATTTCACCTAGTATACTGCAACTAGATCCATTTTTTTGTGTGCCCTCTGTTCAAGTCCATAATTTTTACTTAGATACAATATAAGTCACAGCATGCCAATGTTGGGGACTATGCTATAGTTTTTTGTTTTTTTTAGATTGTAAGCTCACGGGCTATCTAGCTAAGTACTTTGTATAAAAGAGCTTCAATGGCTAGATCTCAGCTTACCGCAGGGCTGTGCATATTGTATGTTCTCCTCTAATTGTACAGCGCTGCGGAATGGGTTGGCGCTTTATAAATACCAGTATTAAATAAGGCGAGAGAAGCAGCCAGTCAGGGCCGCTATCAGGGGGTGACAACCATGACGGTTGTCACGGGCCCGGCAGTCCAGGGCCCCACAATTACTCTTCGCACATATATATAGCGATGATCACTATATATATGTGCAGTGCAGGTGCAGCCGCAGGCCCCCGGCTCCCTATACTTACAGAGGGGGCCCAGCAGACTGCAAGTGTACTTACAAGCTCTTCCCTCTCTGTAACTCCCGCGAGACCCGCGGCCATCAGAGCGTTGCCATGGGTTACCATGGCAACACGCCGTGCTCGCGGGAGTTACAGAGACCTTTGCAAGTATAGGGAGCCGGGGGCCCGCACAATGCCACCGGACCACCAGGGATCATGGAATCTCCCCCCTCCCTGAACCAGGCCAGAAACAGGGAGGGGGGAATAACATTTTTGGAATGCTCAATTTACACTGCATGAATACACTAACACACATACACTCTGCATTCATTACACTAACACACACTCTGCATACACTACACTGACACACACTCTGCATACACTACACTAACACACACTCTGCATACACTACACTAACACACACACTGCATACACTACACTAACACACACTGCAATCATTACACTAACACACACTCTGCATACACTACACTAACACTGCAATCATTACACTAACACACACTCTGCATACACTAACACACACTGCATACACTAACACACACTGCATACACTACACCAACACACACACACTGCATACACTACACCAACACACACACTGCATACACCAACACACACACTGCATACACCAACACACACTGCAATCATTACACTAACACACACACTGCAATCATTACACTAACACACACACTGCAATCATTACACTAACACACACTGCAATCATTACACTAACACACACACTGCAATCATTACACTAACACACACACTGCAATCATTACACTAACACACACTCTGCATACACTACATTAACACACACACACTGCTTTCACTACATTAACACACAAACTGCAATCATTACACTAACACACACTCTGCATTCACTACACTAACACACACACTGCAATCATTACACTAACACACACTGCAATCATTACACTAACACACACACTGCATGCACTACATTAACACACACACTGCTTTCACTACATTAACACACACTCTGCATTCACTACACTAACACACACACTGCATTCACTACACTAACACACACACTGCATTCACTACACTAACATACACACTGCAATCATTACACTAACACACACTAACACACACGCTGCATTCATTACACTAACACACACTCTGCATTCACTACACTAACACACAGGGCTGCCACCAGAAGTTTTGGGGCCCCTGACAAAGCACAAGGTCTGGGCACCCCCACCTCCAACCCATGAGTCTGCCCACAGGACCCCTACCTAGTCCGCTGACAATGATAGAGGACTGAATGTGGTGTGTATAGTGAAAGTGAATTAGAATGTGTGTAATGGATGTAGTGTTTGTGTGTATTAGATACTGTTTGTGTAGCAGATGCAGTGTGTATAATGAACGCAGAGTGTGTTTGAGTAGTTAATGTAGTGTGTGTACAGTGATGTAGTGTGTGTTTGTGTAGTGGATGTAGTGTTTGTGTGTACTAGATGCAATGTGTTTAGTGGATGCAGTGTCTGTGTATTAGTCTTTGTATAGTGAATGCAGAGTGTTTGAATGTGTGGTGGATGTAGTGTGGGTACTGTGAATACAGGATGTTTGTGTAGTGGATGCTGTGTTAATGCAGAGTGTATGTTATTGTAGTGAATGCAGAGTGTGTGTCAGTTTAGTGGATGCAGTGTGTTAGTTTTGTGACTGCAGAGTGTGTGTTAGTGTAATGAATGCAAAGTGTGTGTCAGTGTAGTGAATGCAGAGTGTGTGTTAGATGCAGTGTGTCAGTGTAGTGAATGCAGAGTGTGTGTGTGTGTTTACTAGTGTATGCATGTAATGTAATAATTTAAATCTAATAAATTCCCCCCTGCTTCTTACCTGGTTCAGGGAGGGGGGAGATTCCATCCCTGGTGGTCCGGTGGCACATTGGGGGCCCCCCAGCTTCCTGTATTTGCAGAGGGGGCCCAGCAGACTGCAGCAGTATATTTACAGCTTTTCCCTCTCTCTAACTCCAGTGCGTGATGCGCGGAACGTTGCCATGGTAACCCGTGGCAACGCTCTGATGGCCACACGTCTTGCGGGAGTTAGAGAAAGGGAAGAGCAGTAATGTGCTCCTGCAGTCTGCTGGGCCCCACGGCTGCACATATATATAGCGATCATCGCTATATATATGTGCAGAGAGGGAATGTGGGGCCCGGGACTGCCAAAGCAGTCCGGGCCCCCCCAGGACCGCCAGGCCAGTGACAACCGTTATGGTTGTCACCCCCTGATGGCGGCCCTGCTAACACACACACCCTATGCATCCATTACACTGACACACACTAAACACATTGCATCTAGTACACACAAACACTACATCCACTACAAAAACACACACTACATCCACTACTCAAACACACACTGCATCCGCTACACAAACACACACTCTGCATTCACTGCACAAACAGTATCTAATACACACAAACACTACATCCATTACACACATTCTAATTCACTTCCACTATAGACACCACATTCAGTCCTGCATCATTTGCAGCGGACTAGTTAGGAGTCCTGTGGGCGGACTCATGGGCGGGCCGGGCAGGAGGAGGGTCAGGGGGGGTCCAGACCTTGTGCTGTGTCAGGGGCCCCAAAATTTCTGGTGGCGGCCCTGCAGCCAGTATTAGAGACAGCTGCTTTAGCTGATAACTTGTCGGAAATCGTTATCAAAATAATTGGAAACAAGCCCTAAGTTTACTAACAGCCACAGCAGCATACTGCTGTCATTACTAAGCTCAATGAGCGGTCACCTTACTTGCTTTTTTAGGCACTTCTAAGTAGCTATAGTAGTAGCCAATTTATTGAATAGACTATGTATTGTATCTTCTAACCCTGATTAACAAATATTGGCCATTAAAAGTAATAAAGTTATTTTTATATCAAAAGCAGCTGGAGTTGGCAACTGTGTCTCACAGCTGCATCAAGATACAGAAATAAAATCACATGTTGGAATGTGGAATGATGATCAGATTCCCTGGCACATGCACACGGCCTGTGGTTACTGTCTCAGTCCTTAGTCATCCATGCACAATGGTGAAGGAGGGCAAGAAGCTGTTTTGCAACGACAGATACACCCGGCAGGCATTTGAATGCTTACACCCAGGAAGCGGAAACACACAGTTGCCATTTGATCCAATTATTTTCTTGTGGAAGATGAATTAACCAGGTGAGTGCCAGTGGGGAATGTACACGTATCTAGTAATAAAGGGCACCATTGCCAAGAGTCACAGTTTAATCTGGCTGGTTATAGCGGTACCATCCCACTTACTGCCGACTGTGTATTCAAAGTAGACCTGTCACCTTAAAACGGCTCTGTCATACCCTTAAAATATTTCATAAATACATTATTTTATGAAATGCTCATAAAGACAGTGTTGCAATTTTATTAAAGTTCCAATGCAATTAACACAGCATAAAAACGGCTACCTCTAGTCTGTTGTGTTGAAAGTATATTTAAAATGATTTGGGATCCATCCCAGACCATATTTTTACCAACTGACCTCCACTTCCTGACTGGTTTGTGTGTTTTCAAAGTGAGACACTCCAAGTCAGTATTAAAATGTTGTTATCAACATCCACAGATTGATTTGTATTTAGAAATGCCACTGATCCCAATTAAATGTAACCTCATCCCGTGTGTCAGGATTTGCCTCTGATCCACCCTGAATTAAACTAGTTCCAAAGATCGTTAACATTTTGTCCATGTTTGCCCTCTGAACAATATACTATCTTTGTGCAGTTCTCTCTGTCTGCCAATTGTTTTGAACTGTTTATCACAAAAATTTTGCATTATATATATATATATATATTCACAATGCTTTTACAGCAGGTTATTAAAATACACTTCAGTTTATTTAGCACTAGTACTATTTAGTTTATCTTCCACGTTGAAATTATTGTAGGACCCACCGATATTGGGGTATTGTGGTTAAGTGTGGGCTTAGCATTATATGGCCACATATATTTGCGGAGATAGGTGATTTTAAGTAACCTTGTAACATTTTAAAACATTTTAGTGTGTGTGATGTTCTTTAATCTGTATTTTGTATAAATTTTGGTCTCTAAGCACCACTGCTGAGAAATTCATCTTCTGGGTGTGTCCCCAGTTCTGTCTTTATTCTTAGAGGACTTGTCCTCCTTGGATCTAAATAATCCTATACATCACTCCTCTTTGAAGATTCTCTCTACCTCTCCCGTAAACCTGCCCAACCACTTCCCAGGATTTTAAACATTATATTTACTTATCCTATAATTAAAATATGGATTTATAAGATGCGAAAGATAAAATTGAATGTAGAAATCCACACCTCTTTATCCTGCAACTGGGGGCCCCCATCTTAGCTCCCTGTCAGTCATTGTTATAAGTGCTGTTCTTTGCATCAGGGGCATTAGTCAGAGGACCTGAAATGCCCTGGTCTAAATTTACTTTCCTGTTCTGTGCCTGGCCAGAGCAGGGGACTCAGGGCTCACAGCAATAAATGGCAAAATGAATGGGGAGGTGGGAGGGCAGAAAGGAGCAGACTAAACAGCCAGAACTCAGGAGAGCCATGCCATTAAAGCATTGTTGTAGGTCACAAAGAGAAGGACTATGACAAAGAGTTCAAGATGCTGCATTGGTCTGAAAAACTCCAGAGATCTCAGTCCGATTGAGGAACTGTGGGATGTGCTGGAATAACAAATCCGATCCATGGAGGCCCCACCTCGCTACTTAGAATATTATGGCACTAGAAAAAGTGTAGAGACGAGCTACAAAATTGATAAAAAAGGAATGGAGCATTTTAGTTATGAAGAAAGGTTAAAAAATGTGAATCTCTTTAGTTTAGAAAAAACGACGCCTCAGACGAGATATGATAACATTATACAAATATATTCGGGCCAGTACAAACCATTATCTGGAAATCTATTTATAAACAGGGTTATACATAGGACACAAGGTCACACATTTAGGCTGGAAGAAAGGAGATTTACTCTGAAGCAAAGGGAAGGTTTTTTTTTTTACAGTACAATAAGGATGTGGAATTTTCTGCCTGAAGAGGTGGTTTTATCAGAATCCATACAGATGTTTAAACAGCAATTGGATGAGGATAAATAATTGCAAAAACATAACACACAGAGATATCATTTCTAATTAGTGGGGTAGTAGCTGCTTGATCCAAGGAGATATCTGACTGCCATTTTGGGGTCAAGAAGGAATTTTCCCTAGTTGGTTGCAAAATTGGAACCGCTTCAGACTGGGTTTTTTGCCTTCTTTTGGATCAACAGCAAAACATGTGAGGAAGACTTAACTTGATGGACGCAAGTCTCTTTTCAGCTATGTAACTAGCAGCCAACACATTCCGTAGCGCTTTACTATATTATGAGAGGGGGGATTTAACTATAAATAGGACAGTTGCAAGAAAACTTACAGGAATGGTAAGTTCAAGAGGACCCTGCTCAAACAAGCTTACAATCTATAGGAGGTGGGGTATAAAACACATTAGGACATGAAATAGCAATCAAATAAGGTGGGAGTGAAGCAGAGCTGGAGGAGAGAGTAGAGTGCTGCCTTATGGGAGAGAGCAAGAGACAGGTATGTGAGTTAGAGGTTAGTCTGGGAGGCCATAAGCTTTCCTAAAGAGATGGGTTTTAAGGCACTTCTTAAATGATTGAAGACTAGGGTAGAGTCTGATGGTGGTAGACAGGCTATTCCATAGGAAGGGGGCAGCCCGAGAGAAGTCCTGCAAGCGCGAGTTGGCCGTATGGGTGCGAGCAACAGACAGGAGAAGAGGCATACCTTTGGATCTGTGAAGAGATATAAGAGGAGCTAGGTTTGTTCAGTGCTTTATAGGTATGTGTTAGCACTTTGAATTGACTCCTATAGGATACAAGAAGGACTCTGTAAGGACTGACAGAGGGGTGAGGTGTGAGAGGACCGACTAGAGAGGAAAATCAGTCTGGCGGCAGCATTTCATTACAGACTGTAGCGAGGAAATATGGGTTTTGGGAAGACCAGTTAGGAGAGGGTTTCAATAATCCATGCGGGAAATTACTAGGTCCTTGGTAGCATCTTGTGTAAGAAGGGGCTATGTTTTTAAGATGGCATCTACAGGATTTGGCAACATTCTGGATGTGAGGCCAGAATTAAGTATGATGCCAAGACAGCGCGTTTGCAAGGATGGACTTATGTGGATACCTGAGAGCCTGAGTTTCAGAAAGCGGGACGACATCCAGTCAGAGAAAGGCAAGCAGTGACAGGTTGAAGGACGGCAGGGGAGAGATCCGAGGAGAAGAGATATTTTGTATATATAACAATGTGCGTGTTTGTATTTGTAACATCTTGTGTGTGTGTGTGTGTGTGTGTGTAACTGTGTGAGCCTGTAAGAGCATGTGCTTCATTGTGTGCCCTTTACTTTACCATTAAATATAGATACTTTGTTTATATCAGATCTAGAAGGGGGGCATTGGGTGGAGATTGGGTGAGACTAAGGTAACAGGTAGGTTTTTAGGCTGAAGCACAGAGTATTTAATCCCCCTAGCAACGCCCCTGGTAATAATAGTGAAATTATTATGAGGATAAGAGGGATGAATTGATGTTTATACTTCTCTTCATTTGCACTGTGTGCCCTGGCTTTGCCTTGTCTGAACTGGATTATGATGTAATTTGCTAAATCTTTAATATACATTTAAAAGAAAACAGAGCAGGTCATCAACGGTGAATGCAAGGGACAGTTCCCAATGGAAATAAACCACGCTGAATGCATTTAGAGTGAGTTACAGGGATGGGCACTGGAATTCTAAAAAGCAGTCATTTCATGGAAAAACACTTACTGAGATAAGCACATAAGCATGTCTCTCCCCATAGCAATACAGACGGCATATTTAAAAAATATAATATATATATACACACACAGTCTGGTGGCAGTTTAATATACACATATTTATCTGTATATGAAAATTTACAATGTACTTCTCCAACATAAACACGTTTTTTTATTCAGTAAAGTGAACTGAATTAAGGTCTCTAAACTGCCGACGTGTACAGGATTGTGGCTACAAGTAATCTAATTTCCTCCCAGTGCAGGACAGCTGCAGAATCCAGAGGTGAGAGCCTGTCTCACACAGCATCCATCAGGAATGTGAGAAAACCGCACAGGCACCCCATTCCCACACACTCCTGAGATTACTCATCCCTGGAGTGAGTACCGCTGGCTACCAAGCCTCCAACAACACAAAGACAGCTATATTGGCAGATAAAAGAGGAGTGTTAACCATACTGTTACCAGAACAAGAATGGGACGCTTTCTACATGATTTACTAAGAAAGTAATGTCCAATGGGTTCTACAGACACAAACAGTTCAACTTTGACTATTCGACTGGAACACAATGCTTACCTTCCAAGTGTCCCTATTTAGGAGGAACAGTCCCTATTTCGGGCCCTAATCTATCTGTCCCTCTTTTCTATCCTAGTATCCCTCTTTTCTATGAGCTTCACATTGTTGGTGTGCCTGAGAGTTCAGCAGCAATAGTACTCAGTAATGTGTCTAAACTACTATAAATGTGTTTAGAAATCAGTCTGTGTAAATAAGATACATTGTTCTTGTTATAAATTATATTTTAGTTGTATAAGTTGTTATTAATAAGTCACATAAAATTTCTCAGAACAGCCCTACCTTTGGCCCCACCCCCACTCACACTCAGAACAGCCCAGCCCCTGGCCATACCCCACTCACACTCAGAACAGCCCTGACCCTGGCCACACACCCACTCACACTCAGAACAGCCCTGACCCTGGCCACACACCCACTCACACTCAGAACAGCCCTGACCCTGGCCACACACTCACAACAGCCCCGCCCCTGGCCTACCCCACTCGCACTCAGAACAGCCCTGACCCTGGCCACACACCCACTCACAACAGCCCCACCCCTGGCCATACCCCACTCGCACTCAGAACAGCACTGACCCTGGCCACACACCCACTCACACTCAGAACAGCCCCGCCCCTGGCCATACCCCACTCGCACTCAGAACAGCTCCCCCTGACCACACCCCCACTCACATTTTGAACAGCCCTGTCCATGTAAACACCCCCACGCACATCTCTAAAATGAATGTGTCCCCCTGTGTTCATTTAAAATGTTAGGAGTTATGGCATTGGCAATGCTGGTAAGTGTGGACTTTTAGATATGTCTGAACTCCAATTCACATGATGCTCAGTCAGCCAATAGTGTAATTTAAACCTGTATGAACTGTTTACAGCAGTGGTTATGGTTATGAAATCCTGGGTAACAACCAAAATAGGTGTCCTCGCTGGGGGAAGAGAACTGCCCCAAATCCGTTATTTACAGTAACCACGCTGCATTGCTCAGGGCAGAGAAAATTATGAAAAGTCTATAGAAAGTGATTTTATCATGTATGAGTCACTGAAGTAATGATATAACCCAAGAATTGGCCGTCACCCTAACGCCATGGACATCATTTCAAAGACAGAAAGAGAAGGGTTAGAATCACACATTTACAGCATAGTACGTTATTTAAATAAACTGATTTGCTGTTATGTGCGTGTAATATTCAGCGTTTTCCATTTGATCTGGTTTATCCTGGGCATCGCATATTAACCAGCAGTTAAACCGCTAGCCCTGTATCACCTCATCTGATACCGAGCAACAAGCGCTCATTAAACACACATACAAACATATAGCACTATAAGGGAGTTGTAGATTTCTTTTAATTTAAATGTAAAATTCTAATCAGAGATTTAGTTTAATATCAGGATCTGGGCAATAAAGGATAGTGTAAAGTAATAGAATTTAGTGCTAACCCATTTGCCACAATTTCTCACAAAAGCTGACCAAGAATTGGACATTGTAGAGGTCACAATATTATTTATAAATGGCACAGTTTAGGCTACATAACCCCTTTATCTCATAGGAGTGTTTATGGTGCCTGAAGACCCCTGACACCGTTTCATGGTTCTTGAATAGTTTAACACTGAATGAGGGTCCATGGATGCCAGCAGCCCCAGCTACTCTCTGCTGCTGTGGCTAATGAATTGCTGCTGTTATAGCTAAGGAATTGCCCCTAGATTATTTACTGCACCCTTGCGTGCCCTCCGCCTATAGCACCAGTGCTGGGAGGGGGCACTATAGGCTACTAACTGTACTTGGCAGCAGGGTAGGCACTTGCCTTCCCACACAGCATGTGCCTACTTTTCCAAAATATACTGGTGTTTGGAGGTGGAGTGCAGGCGGCAAGGGAGCTCTGTACATACTATGCTCTCCCTGCACAGCTCCCTAATGCACCCTGCAATGTGCTGTTAACTCGGGTATGAAGTCATCCCAGCATCAGCAACACTAGAGGGCGCACATGTGACCTGTGAAGGGAGAGCACAGTAGCAACCACTGGCCAACAGGATCCACTCCAGCACTGCAGAGAAAGGTGGTGAGGCTGGGCAGATCTTAAAATAAATAATAAAGATGTGTCTGTGTGTATGAATGTGTCTATGATTGTGTGTCTATGACTATGTGCGTAGGTCTGTGATTATGTGTGTGACTGTGTATGTGTCTGTGATTATGTGCCAATGTCAGTGTGTGCTCTTGTCTATGGTTATAAGTGTACGCATGTCTGTGGATGTGTGTGTGTGTATGCCTGTGATTGTGTGTGTCGGTCTGATGCGTGTATGTCCGTGATTGTATGTTTGCATGAAAATGTGTGTTTCATAGATAGCTCCCTAATTTCGTATAATTTAATATGGCATTCCCACATACGGATAGCAAATAAGGGAGTATCTATTACCTTTACCTATATATTCTTAGTTCAGTTCCATATATACCACTATAAGGTTGGATCCTAATCTCTCATTGGATTTACATATCGAAAACCCATCCTCCAAACTGGAAATAAAGCTTAGATCTTACCATACGATAACGGATGTCAGTCGTACATTTTGAGAATGCAGTATATAGAAATACAGAGCAGACAGATCAGACTAAACTGAGCACTCCACATAATTATTAGTTCTCTGATGCAACAACAGCCATTAAAGTGCTAGCTTCAAAAATATGGCCTAAAATACAAGAAGTGGAGCAATCACCAGGGGGACCAGCAGACCTATTCCGTTTTTGCACCACTTTTTAGGATAGAACACTTTAAACATATCACAATGGTGGAGATTTATCAAACAACGAAACTGGATACTCTCACATTCAGATGTGCGCCTCCAAAATGTTTTGTGCCAGAATTTATTTACTGTTTGCATTCAAAAGGATTAAGTATGTGATGGATAAGCTTAAGCTATTGTCCACAATTCTGTGAATAAATATCAGAAGATGAAGTCGCCCTCGGAGGATTACCAAGTCTAAGGTAAGGGGTGGGAGGATTACACGGTCTGAGGTGAGGGGTGGGGGAGAATACCCAGTCTGAGGTGAGGGGTGGGAGAGTTACCTGGTCTGAAGTGAGGCGTGGGAGAGTTACCTGGTCTGAGCTGAGGGGTGGGGGGAATACCCAGTCTGAGGTGAGGGGTGGGAGAGTTACCTGGTCAGAGCTGAGGGGTGGGGGGAATACCCAGTCTGAGGTGAGGGGTGGGAGAGTTACCTGGTCTGAGGTGAGGGGTAGATTCCAAGTCAGCCTAAGACAACTACAATGTTTACTGTTATGTAGTTGGAAGCTGGAAATATTAATTATTTTGTAATCTATTAATTCTGTAAAATAAAGGGACACAAAAGTCCAAGTTGAATATGCTACTCATGTTCTTTGCTGCCTCTTTGAATAAATAAAGAATTTTAAAAAGGGTTGTTTGTAGTATGTACCGATACAGTTAATGCCCTTGCCACGCCATAAATAAGCCTGGTGTATGCCCGGGAAGCCTGTTCATGTTATTTAATTGGCTTTTAGAGGGAAGTTCAGAAATCCAAGAGTTTGGCCTGCTGCGGGAGGATCTACAGCAGTAAAAGTGATGTCCTAGGTTAGGATGAGACTAATTATTTCTGTGTGGTCCTTGGAGACCGACTTTCCCTGGGACAGTCTGGAGGCCGCCCTGCACGTCTGGAATCAGGTGGCTACTTCCTCACTAAGCTCATTTTCTTTTGTTGGACCAATTTCCTTTGACCCATTCCTGACAGATCCCTGTGCATTCTCCCACTAGGACTCTGAGGTCCTGTAACTTTGTAACACAGCATGGGAGAGCTGAGTTTTGATTCCAAGTGAGCACAGGAAAGAATCTGAAGGTAGGGGGACATGACACACTGAATTCCAAATACCACTAAATTGATTTAATCTTATTCTGCATTTATTAGCAAGCATGAAAAAAATCTGAGAGGGTTTGGTTTCCTGCGGGCTAACCACATTGACACTCAAAATATAAAAATGCAAACTAAAGAACAAATAGTAAAAACAAAAGATCCTACTTTTTTTTGCAAAGAGTCAGATGAATGGATTTTGCCATGCCCCCATATTGCCCTCCCCCACCCCAAAAAAAAGCTGTTCTAGAGCAAGTCTGACACAAGGTTTACTGCTGTCCATCGAAGGTACTGTACTGAATAATCAGAAACAATACTTGCCAACAGGCCTAATGTTGCCGGGGAAGACCTGAGATTTTTTTGTGGTTTTTACTGAAAGGTTGCTCGTTTCTATTGTTTATCGGGGTTTGCATCGGCGTACCTTAACCTGTCCCTAAATAGTCCCTTGCTTTAATAAGAATTAAGGGGAAGAGTCCTAAATTTGTTTTAAAAATATATATATTGATTTTATACTTAATTGAAGTTCTTATCTAATTAAATAGGCCAAAAGAAAAACAATAGAATACAAAAAACAAACACACAGCACTCAAACAGTTTTACTAACAAATAAACCAAAGAAGATAAAATAACACTTGCACCAAATGTGTCTATAAATGGAGAGATACCCAGCTATGCCGCTGCCGTTCCCAGGCACCTCTTTTTGCTCTAAGTACAATGCTCCATCAAGTCATCTTTATACCAACACAAAACAAGAGCACAGTCAGAAATAAAACCTAGGAAAACAAGAGACATGATAAAATAGACACATTAAAGAGGCACGCTGAGCACCATGCTGGTGGTAAGGGTGCCAACCCACTGTTAAGGAATCAGTCCATCTTTGAATGATTTAAAATTTTCATTGGTCCCTAGGGAGCCTGCAGCCCAGGCACTCGTCACAGATGTTGCTAAACCAGAGGTTTTTTAGAACTCACACCAATTACAATACAGTGGCTACAATACCAGCCTGCCATGCCCAGCACATAACGGATGTTTGTAATGATGGTGACATCGCTGCCTGGTTTGCAATGGCCTGGAAGGGGGGGGGAGGGTGTAGCGGAGGGTAGATATATTTACCTGATGCTGTCCCGTGGGTGCTGCCATTTTCTTTTTTCAGCTCCTGGCACTTCATCTGCCAGGAGCCCATGTCAATGGGGCACTTTTGCGCATGCACTAGAGTACAGCAATAATGTCTATGTAGGATCCCCTGGAGCTTCCGAAGGATATTATCTCACAATGAATAAAACAAAAAACTTATTCTGTTGCCAAAGTTAGCACCGCCTTTGTCAAGTTTTATCAAACGGAGGAAAAATACATAAGGCTTATGTATTTTAGGAGAAAAGGATCAAAAATAGGAGAAAGGAATAACAGATTGAGAGGGAGGAGGAGAAGAGAAAGAGATTGAAGAAAGGTATGTTTAGGGTGACAGAGCTGCTTAAAATTAACATTGAATTGTCCTTTTAGTGAATAGCCATGGTTATTTCCATGTTCTGGTTACATTTTCAGGGAGCAGTATTTCCAGAAATTTTATCAGTTCCCTTACAAACATCCACTGCCATGTTTAGCCATTTTTATATATCTAATTTGTCACATATATACATTTGTTAAAAAAACATTCACCTTCAATGGTAATATATCAAAACCTGCCTGAAATAAATATATAATAAATAAATGCTTGAGCTTGGCAGTGAATGGGTTAAAGTACTTTTTTTTTTTTAGGTGGCAGGTCATTTATAATACATCAGGAGGAGCTAGCATGTCTTTCCGGCTTTGGAACACCTGTCTAGGAATATTTCCAGAGGACAATGCTCTCAGCTCCTGCGGTGAATGGTTTGAACATAAGATTTAGTGCAATCTGAAGTTGTATTTCTAATTACACACCGCAAAAACACTTCATCTGTCTACTGCCATCTGCATCGTTCAATTCCTTGCTGGTGAGAAGCGCCTGGCAGACAAAAGCTCTTTTGTACGGATTGCTCAATCCAAAGCGATTGCATTATTAAACATTGGAATTTGATAATATGGGTTTGAACCGCAATCTTAGTTTTTGCTGATCCACGAAAAAACAAGTGTGATTCGTCATTACTAGAGGTATGTGTTTACAGCCCCTGAAGCCAGAACTGTTAAACCACAAAAAAATTATAAAAAAAAAAAAAAAAGAAACACTAACCAAAAACAAAAACCTTAAATATTTGGGTTGAAAAGGTGATTATTTGGTTTACATGTTTTTTAATCACCCACTGTACTCTTAGAACAAATAAAACGAACACACAGTCCACGTAGCAGATATTTTTTAACTCTTCGAGAGACAGAGGTGTGAGAAATGGCACCGAATGCGCTCAGTCTAGTAGATGTACAGTGTTCCTAGTGTGCTATTATTTAAAGCTATCCCTCACTGAGTCACCTGTGTCTAAGCAGGAATCCCCCCTGTGATTTAGTGGAAAGCAGTGAATGAGATGGTGATTATTTACAGTGGCTGCAGACTTACAGCACAGATACTTTCTCATCACATCTATGGCCTGTCCACAAAGGAAGGCTTTATTTGTGAATGGGGGGGTTACATGACTCACATTGTCACGCACTCGATAAAGCCTTTCTTTCTCATCAAACGTCCCAAGCTGTGCTGGGTGTGTGTTTACATTTAGCAGAAAAATATAAAATACCAATCTCATAGTATCAGAAAGAGGTAATCACGGACTGATGCTGGGGACCTGGCCATTCACCTCTGAATTGAAAGGGTGGGCTGGCGAGGATGACTGCTGGGATTTAGGACTGACCATTAGTTCTTGTCACCATATGATTTAGGATTTTGCCTGTGTAAAGCATAGCCAGTAGATTAGGCAGACTTTTGAAACACAGTCCTCTCTGTGATCTCACTAGGTGTTTTCTGTGTGAGCCTCTTCAATGTACTTTGGACAAGACATTCTAGTGTGCATTAACTTCAAATGCATAGACTTTGTGGCATACTAGTTGGTAATAAACCTTCTGATATAAAGCTGGCAGTCTGCCCATGGATTGGAATACAATTCTAAGGAAAATATTATATTTTCTCCTTGGTTTATACACAGGTAACAAGTAATATTGTTTCACAATTAATTTACCAGGCCATGAAAAAAAACGGAATTGTTTGTATTTTAGCCCAGTTTTTTATCTGTACAATAAGCTGCTCGACGAAAAAAACAGCAACATTCTTTAAAGGGACACTGTAGACACATAGACCACTTCAGCTCATTGAAGAGGTCTGGGTGCAGTCACCCTTTCGGACTTAGTGCTGACATCCAGCATCAGATTTTCCCCATAGGAAAACATTGATTCAATGCTTTCATCTGGGGAGGTCTAATTTGTCTGCTGCATTTGCTGTGCATGCGCATTAGCACCCACTTTTTAACTATTTATTTACCCGTGTGGGGGGGGAGAGGAACTAGTGTCAGGAATACAGCTATAGTTAATACTGTATATGTAAATGCTATAGTTTTGGAGACTACAGTATGAAGTGCACCAGAGGAAATATAGTCCTGATACAGAGCTCAGAGTGTGAAAATGAGGGTGCCTACACGGACAGAAATCTGTTCACCAAACTCCAAGTTTTCTAGAGTTCACTGTTGAGTTGATGACATCGATATTTATCATCTCACTCCTGGCTACACCTTCCTAGCTGCTCAGTTCATTGCGGAGTCTACGAGTTCAAGATGAGTGAATTCTCCAGGAGCCTGTACCATGGTTCACTTCACGGTCACGATAACTCAGCTTGGCATATGTTTGTGCAAGATCATGAAAAGTGAATTAGTGACGGAAGGCAAAACATGAGATCCGAGGATCCTTTCCACAGAGGTATGGAGACATGATGTGGTTATTGTTCCTGCAGGACACAACATTCTGGTGCAATGTCCCATAGTCTAGTACAGGGACAGGCAACCTTCAGCCCTCCAGATGTTTTGGACTACATCTCCCATAATGCTCTTACAGCCATAATGCTGGCAAAGCATCAAGGGAGTTGTAGTCCACAACATCTGGAGTGCCAAAGATTGCCTATCCCTGTTCTAGTACAACCACCATAGAACGAACCTACATAACTTCACAGAAATTCACAGCTACAAGAAGCAAGATCACAATAATCATATAAACTGTTGGCTCAGAACAGCCCTAGGTAGAAGAAATGCCGGCATATTCCTAGACATTTCACTCTCCATTAACGCTTGCTTTCAGATAAGGGACCAATTTTTTTTTTTTTTTTGGAAAGGTACAGAGAACACATTACACACTTTTTTAAACCAGCTTTACAACAATGAATGGGGCATTATCTTAACTACCCATTTTAGTAAACACACAGTCACATTTTAAGATCTTGATATTTTTATAGATGATGAAAGGGTGAAAACTAAAACTAATTTTAAAGATGTGGATGTCAATAGTTTTATCCATACTTCTAGTTGTCATTTTTCCCCATGGTTAAACAGTGTACCCAAGACACAACTTATACGAATTAAGACAAATTGCACGGACGAGGACACTTTTAAGGAACAAGCGGATAAATTAATCTCCGACCTATTAGATAAGGGCTACAAAAAGGAAACATTAAAAGACACTTACGCACAAGTCTCAAAAATTCAACAAAATACTTTATTACAAGAAAAAAATAAAACAAAAAATGAAGGTGAAGTTAACCTACCTATTATATGTAAGTATAGCCACAATAACAGTGCGTTAAGAAAAATTCTAAATAAACACTGGCCCATTCTACTACAAGATCATACTCTGTCCCAAATTCTACCAGAAAAACGTAAAATAGTGTTTAGAGGGGCTGCCAATCTAAATAGATTACTGGTAAAAAATCATATTAAGAAAACAAGGGTCACTATTTTCCTAGACAAAGGAAAGGTTTTTATGGATGTGGCACATGCTTAGCGTGCAGGAATACAAACAATAAAAAGAGATACATTAAAAGGAATTTTAGTAATAATGAAGAATTCCCCATTAAAGAACTCATAACTTGCCACTCGAGTAATGTAGTATACTTATTGGAATGCCCCTGTGGCTTAAAATATGTGGGACGCACTAAACGTAATTTGCACATAAGGATTGAAGAACATGTTAGAAACATTAGGAAAAAATTTGAAGGACATAGTCTATTACACCACGTTGCACTTGCACACAATGGTGAGCCAAGAGAGTTGAAGTTCATGGGCATATATAAGGTTAAGGGAAATTGGCGAGAAGGGGACCTTAATAAACTTTTGGGACAGAGCGAGATGAGGTGGATATTCAACCTCGGGACTTTAAAACCTCGTGGTTTGAATATAGACTTCGAACTCTGTCATTTTATTTGAATATATATTCCACCAGTTACTCTAATCCGGATTTTTTTCATATTCCTTTTTAAATAAACATATTTCAAATAAATATATTTCGCATACGTTATTCTTGAACATATTGGTCCAATCCCTATCCTCATGTGTATTAAATTTCAATTTGTGGTTTAACAATTTATTGAGAATACTACTCTGTCAATATTTAATTAACATGCACTCAATATCCTATTGGATACATTAAAATATATCCATAAGGATATCAAACTTTGCACATACCAATCTAAATTTAACACTTAATATGATTTTATTTCTCTAAATACACACTATACTTTATGCACTTTATGTACAATAAGTCACTTGGTATAGATATACACCAAGGATATCACATGATACTTTTGTATATATGTAAATATAAGTACCAGTTATAATTATTCTATATCCCTTCTTTTCTCTCCTTTTTTACATTATTTTCTTCTTCTTTTTCCTCTGCCTACTATTCATCTATGTACACAATCCCTGTCATAGCCGTGCTGTGTTGGAGAGGGGAGGAGTCCGCGAGTACATCGGCATGCCCGAAGGGCGGGACGAGCCGATGTGCTTACACATCATCCTCTTAGGGATGAATCTCCTTCCATACACTAGAGTCCCCTCCCTCCGGCCCGGCCGCATGAGAGGCGGGTAGCATGGTCGGAGAATCTGGGAGTCTCTTCGAGGTGGCGGCTAGATGACGTTCACGGTGGTCCGTGACGTCACTTCTGCCAACCACCTCGGCGAGCTCCCACTACTTCCGCCAACCACCATTGTCCACCAATGAAAATGCTAGTAAATAAAGGCGCCGAAAATTCGGCCAATTAAAAGTATACACACAAATTATCTCACATAAGAAATATATACACACCACTGTGATTGGATAAACTGTATTAATATCATTAAAGGGGAAGGACTAAAGGACATTTATAATGGAAGATTCAGAGGACCATCATTACAGCTGACTGAGGAAGCTTTATTGAGAGCGAAACGTGTATTGGCCATTTTAAAGGACTTTTATTAAGGACTTTTTTACCATTTATTTTTTATTGTTATTATATACTGTGACGAGACCAATCTCGCCACATTGCATTGGAGAAGCCTGGTTGCCCGCCTGTTGCCTCTGGACTATGGCCCCATGTTAGAAAGCCTTCTTTTCCCCTGCAGAAAAGGCTTGTTCGTGCCTTTCTGCCCGGTGTTTGGTAGATTCAATCTACCGAACAAACAACCGATTGACTGGACCACCTGTATTGGGAGTGTGTCGGCAATTTACCTCCCAGAAGCTCCGGTTAACCGCAGCTTAATTGACAAATGCTGGGTGGCCTTTGTTCGTGGCGGCGGCCATTTTAAAGTTCCGAGCGGCCAGCGGTGTTCAGCGCCCAAACTATGGAACTGGAAACGGATACTTATTTGCACGAACACCGCTGAGCCGTCAGCCTCCTTGCTTCTGCATTCGGTCATTTAACCGGATGCCTGTTCATTCAGTAGTTTAAACCATATGAACAGTATTACCCAAGATAGCCATCCCGTGGAGTCTATTCGTATGGAGAACAGGCTTTGTGAACACTTTAACTCCACGGCGATTGGACTGTGTGCATAGGATCTGAGCGCTATTCGGTACTTTTGTGTGCTCAGATCCCAGCTATCTGGGGATGGGTTACATGTATATATTTTATGTGACAAATGTAACATTATGTATTTTATTGTAACCATGTGGTTAATGGAGTTTTGCCTCTGTCCTTGGAGATAATAGGATTACTTCCCAATTATCTCCAGGATAGAGCGAAGGGATTGTAATGTACTGTGGGAGTGTTTTAACCCTGTATGCCCATGATTGGTCATTTTACCATTTGTTTCCCAGTCTTCCATCTGGTCCCCTAGGGGAGTGTCCACCAGGTGGAAGACCTGCATTAATACCGGGCAGGTAGCCCACATTAAACCAGACCACTGCTTGACCCTCAACACGGAGCTCTGTGTCATCTTTGGGGGGATTTACTGTATGCTGTTAGAGACGTTTGGGTACTTTTCCTGTTCCTCTGCTAGCAGCTATTCGTGAGGTTCCAGTTCGGGAGTTTGGAGTGCTACTTTGTATGCAGTTCGGGAGTTTGAAGCATTCCCTTGTATGCAGTTCGGGAGTTTGGAGCATTCCCTTGTATGCAGTTCGGGAGTTTGAAGCATTCCCTTGTATGCAATTCGGGAGTTTGGAGCATTCCCTTGTATGCAATTCGGGAGTTTGGAGCATTCCCTTGTATTCAGGGAGTTTGGTGTTCTGCAGTAGCTGTGCCTGTATCTCTGGAAGGGGAAGATCTTCTAAACGGCGGTTTAACCCTTTTATGCCTGGGGGTGCTGTTACAATTATACCAATAAATTTGTTATTTCACTTAAGATACCCTGCTCAAGTCCTTTCTGGAGCCTCTAGGAATCTCCATATGGGCAGTGCCATCTCTATTTAAACTGGCACCACATCTATACACCTTAGAGCCGGGACTTACAGGCTCAGGACCAGGTGAGCACCACATTTACTATTTTACATCCGTGCTTTTATTGCTACAGTCTACACATTGGTTTGTTCTCCCTTTATGTTTTATTTATGAGAACTACTCCAAGCCGAAGTGGAAGGGTGGTGCTAACAAAATAAGCACACAAGCCTAAATACGGAGCCAGTTTTTTATATACAGGCTCCTTAAAATGTGAGTCTATAGTTTGTTACATTACTATTATTTTTTGAATTGCAACTTTAAAATACCATCTGCACTATATTGTATCTTTTGTTTTTTTTATTTTTTGGCATGTACTTCATATTGTACTATCGAATCAAGTCACGCTTGGTAAGCTTTATATCTGTTTGAGCGCTTCACTTATAGGTGTAGGTCTTTGTCACTTATCCCGCACTTAACTCGCAAACACATATTTCTTAAATATGGGGATAAGTTAACATAATATCAAAATCCGGGAAATTGACATTTCCCCTTTAAGTAAAAACAAAACAAAAAAAAAAACAGTATTTTTAGTATTTAGTATTCTAAATATAAAAAGTTTTGGAATTTGTAGCGCTACAATTCTTTTAAAGTTGAATGGAACTACTATTTAACAAACTAGAAATGGATTGAATTTTGATCTTGCTCCAGACATCAAACTCTGCACCTCAATGTACCCCGATTTATCTGCAGAATTGGTAAAATACAAAGCATGCTATTCTTTTTTTGGGAGATGAGCAATCAAAACAACTGAATAACCCAAGAATGCCAATCAGTCATGGGGGTTTATCAGCCAGGCTTTCTCTGTGGCCAGCTGTGGATGACCTGCAGTTGTTCCTAACTCCATTAAAATGAGCAATTTGGAAGATGAGAGATATCAATGGCTCTACTTTCAGCTAATTGATTTCCAGGGGTTCAGAAGTGAACTCTGTAATTTTATAACAAAACAGGAATATTACACTACGCTTTAACTTATCATTTAACTGCTTCTAGTGCAGTAAAATATAGCTAAACAACCACCAAACAACAAAACAATTGCCACTACAACAGAAACTAATATGATAACAGATACAGTTCTAAGTAATTCACTGCACACAGCAACTATAGGAGAAAACAAACTTCAGTACCCAGTATATTACTTTCTCATAATGATAAAAAAATAACAATTCAGAGCTATCAGATATCTTTTTGGGTTTGTCCGAATGTTTCCCAGAATATTTTCCCGTAGATCAAATTCGGCAAACCTAACGGCATAAACAAACGTTGGACAACTTGAACCAAGTTTGAATTTTGGAAAACGTTCCTGTAGAAGTCTAATAAACATAATAAGGATGTATGTAAGAGACAGATAGCTCAGTGTTAGTCATTGTATGCCGCTCAGTAATACCAGGCACTGCACACAAACACCGGATTAATACATTTTTAAGTCAGGAGAGCACATTTTCACAAAGCATTAGATGGTGAAATATGATCAGGTCACAGAGATCATCCGTGGCTCCTGCAGCTGTGTAACAGGGTGTGTTGGAATGGTCGATACCTGCCCTAGTAACATCTTATCTGATTGATAACAAATTCCTAAAAATTCCAAGAAACCAAACCACAATGCTGGAGGCAAGTGAAATTGCCCAACTGTCAGACAGAAGGCAGGAGGTGGGAACATTACTGGAAGCAGGCAGGGCTGCCATGTGGATGAAGCCAAGGCTGCATTCTGTGGTTATGGTTATTCTGTAACATATCAAACTTAGATTTACCAACACCCTGCTGTTGCTGCAGGTTAAAACTCTCATAAAGCTAATGTGGCCCTGAATGCCCATCATAGGAAGCTGCTAATCAGTAGGCACTGGAAAACAGGGTGATTGGCAGTGGTAAAGGAATCAGAAGAAGGAACCTTCATTTCAAATCATTTAGATTCTTACTATTTATTGAAGCAGAGCAGAACTTGTCTAACCATAAAATTCATTTCAATATCAACTACCCCAAATTGAAAAGAACTTTGTCCACCCCGTAATTATAGTGGGGGCTATGTGCGGATACACAATGTACCCCCAGCGGGGACCTGGGGTTGGTAATAAACCTCCCTTGTACTAATGTGGGGGTCATATTTACCCCCACTTGCTCTCATTTGATTTCTTTTTAATGACTTACAAGGAATTTACACATTTACTGTACTATAATTTAGCTCTTCTGTTTTATAATTTTATATTGTTTTTAATAGGTAATGGAATTTTTTTCTTTCATTCATTACAGGCCAAGCCCTATTTACTCCGCGCCTATTTTATTTAGTGGATCACTAAAGCCACCTAGACCACTTCATCTCAATGAAGTGGTCTGGTTGCAGTAATGCTGTGTTTTTAACCCTTTAATGTAAAACATTGCCGTTTTGTAAATGATTAAAAGGCTATCTTCCTGGCAGCCACTAAAGACGCTTGTCTCCATAACCAAATTAAACTGATAGCAGCATTTGATTTAGGGAGTGTGGCATTTTGCTCTCCAGTTCATGAAGCATTGGATTGGATGAGTTTGCGAGTGTTGTAGCAGCTTGCTGACATCGACGGATAAGGAACTGCAAACTGTCAGAAGTCCTGCTGTTGGAAAGGAGAGGAGTAATTTTTACTTGAATTTTACCATGCAAGAGGGATGGACAGTACTGACCACAATATAAGTAAACCTAAAAATCACAAAATTAAGATTATTAAAACTTTATCATTTTCATAAAAGAGCTGCAACCATATAAATGCTGATTCCAGGACAGTGACAGCCATGTTAAACTTCAGAAGATTTAGGAACACTACCGTCAAGATCACTATCATAACTAAGAGTATGGATAATTCTCTAATTTTAACCCCAAAAACATTGATTTCTGAGTGAACTGAGTGACCCCTCTGAGCCTGTTTTGTGACCATAGATGGAAATGTACAATTTTACTAACGTTTGCAAAACCAACATTCACAGGAAAGTTGCAAAATCAGGAGATGCACCACACCCTGTAAACAAGAGCCGTGACCTACTTAGAAAGTTTATCTGGCTGGGACTAAACGAACCTGGCAGATATAATCAGTTTTATTCTAGACTAATAATCTATACACATCTTTAAAAAAAAGCCCCCTTTAAAACATCAAGTAATTTTGAAGACCCTCACAAGCAGGACTTGTAGTCTAAGCCATGCTTTATCTTTCTCTCAAGTTCTATGGTCTCACTCCCAGACAGCCAGTCTATTGCAATAATTTCCCTGACCTTTAAATCTCCTCTGCAGTCTCTCACCCCCTGTCTCCTCAGCACCCAGGTCTCTTACCACCAGCATCCTTAGCACCCGAGTCTCCTCAGAAACCAGGTCTCTTACCCAGAGTCTCCTCAGAAACCAGGTCTCTTACCCAGAGTCTCCTCAGAAACCAGGTCTCTTACCCAGAGTCTCCTCAGAAACCAGGTCTCTTACCCAGAGTCTCCTCAGAAACCAGGTTTCTTACCCTGAGTCAGCACCCTTGTCTCTTACCCAGAGTCTCCTCAGCACTCACCTATTTTACTTTGAGTCTCCTCAGCACCCTTTTACCTTACCCTAAGTCTCCTCAGCACCCTTATACCTTACCCTGAGTCTCCTCAGCACCCTTATACCTTACCCTGAGTCTCCTCAGCACCCTTATACCTTACCCTGAGTCTCCTCAGCACCCAGGTCTCTTATCAAAAGTATCCTCAGCACCCAGAGTCTCCTCGGCACCCAGGTCTCTTGCACAGAGTCTCCTCAGCACCCACGTCTATTATCCCAAGTCTCCTCAGCACCCAGGTCTCTTGCATAGAGTCTCCTCAGCACCCACGTCTATTACCCCAAGTCTCCTCAGAACACAGGTCTCTTACCCATAGTCTCTTTAGAACCCGAGTCTCCTCCGCACCCTGGTCTCTTACCACAAATATCCTCAGCAACCAGGTCTCTTCCCCCAAGTCTCCTCTTACCCTGAGTCTCCTCAGTATGCCGATTCTAGGAGTCTAACCCAGATTCTCCCCAGCACCCAGGTCTCAGTACCTTATACTGCTAATGTCATGTGTCTTATCACCAGTGTACTGATTTCTTAGACTTCACGAAATCCTTTCTTCCAGCAACCCCCTCCTGGCTGATGTGATTACTGGGAGGAGCGACGCCGACCCGAAACCACCGCAGAGGGACATCGGCAGGGTCTCAGGTAAGTGACCTGAAGGGGTTTTCACCCCTTCAGCTACCTGGGATGGGAGGTGGGAGGGAGAGGGTACCTGCAGTGCCAGGAAAATGGATTGTTTTCCTGGCACTGGAGTTTTCCTTTAATAAAAAAAATAAATAAATCCACATCCCCTTAAAAAAAAACCTGCACACCCCATTAATAAAAAAATCCTGCACACTCCCCTTAATAAAAAAAAACCTGCACACCCCCCATTAATAAAAAAAACCCTGCAATCCCCCTTAATAAACTCCCCCACCCCGACACCCGCGCACATTATACGAATTGATGGGGGAGTGACTCATGACACTGGCACTCATGGCACCTCCCTAGTGCCATGACACTGGCACTCATGGCACCCTTCCCCTTAGTACGCCACTGGGTTTTTATATAGTGCCAATTAAATCCGCAGCGCTTTACAATATTATGAGGGGGGTTTACAATAAATTAGACAATGACACAGGAACAATAGGTAGATGAGGGCCCTGCTCAAACGAGTTAACAGTCTAGAGAAGATGGGGTACAAAATCACAAAAGGGCAGCAAGTGTGACAGCCATTAAACAAGATGGTAAAGTAGCAGAACTGGAGGTGAGGAAAGGAAAGGAGCCGCCTGCGAGAAGTCCTGCAAGCGCGAGTTAGCCCCGAAACACATGGGCATAATAGTAAGCAAACATCCTCCATTCATCCTCTTTCCTTTATACACCAATGTTGGCGCCAAAAAACCCACCCGTAATGAGTGGGCTGGGTTTCTATTTTGTTTCGCCAATCGGATTCGGCGGTGGGAAGTCCCAAGTGTTGGCAAAAACAACGCGCATGCGTACAATCAGACCTGTTACGCATGCGCCGGTATTGGTATTCCGCCAGAAGACATGGTCAGAATTAACGCGCAACGAAATTCGGCGCAGCAGACAGAGCTGCGTCCAGACCAGTTCAAGCCCAGCGCTCCCTGTGATTACATACAAGACATCACATATTTTAACAACATGTTAAAACATAATAAATAATGTAATGATGTATGTGATGTTCACATAATAATGCACATAAATCTAGGGAGTACTAAAGAGACAAGGGAAAATGGGGACTAACAGTAAGGAGGAAATATAGAAAAAATAAATAAAAATAATCAGAGAAGGCAGGTTAAGTTAGATTTCAGAATGCATATCGGACTTAGTATCAAAGATCAAAAAAGTAAACCCAAAAATTACCAAAAGGTCTTTCCAACTCAAGGGCATATTAGTGGATATTAGAAAAATATCCACTAATAAACAGAATAAACTAATAATAGATCAGATTCATACACCGTATTTTTCGCTCCATAAGACGCACCTAGTTTTTAGAGGAGGAAACCCAGAAAAAAAAAAAAATATTCTGAACTGTTCCATGGTGTTTCTTACTATGGGACAGTTTGTTCAGAATATTTTTTTTAAAGCAATTTTTTGTTCCTTACCACCCTCTCCTGTCCCATAATGATCTTTAACCCCCCCCCTTGTCCCATAGTTATCTTTAAACCCCCCTCCCCTGTCCCATAGTTATTTTAACCCCCCCTTTCCTCTGTCCCATAGTGATTGTTAACCCCTCCTCCCCTTGTACAATAGTGTTCTAATCTCATAGTGTCCCCCCACCCTTGTCCCATAGTGCACTTTCCCTCCCATAGTGTCCCACCCTCCCCTTGTCCCATAGTGTCCCACCCTCCCCTTGTCCCATAGTGTCCCACCCTCCCCTTGTCCCATAGAGTCCCCCCTCTCCTTGTCCCATAGTGTCCCCCCTCCCCTTGTCCCATAATTACTTACCTGTCTTGTAGCGTGGGCCGGCTTCACAGCGCGCTCCGCAGTACAGGAACTTCAAGTTCAGGTTCCGGTTTCCGGCGGGACTGAAAGGAAGTGCACACTCAGTGTGCACACTTTCTTTCAGTCCCGCCGGAAACCGGAACTTGAACTTCCTGTACTGCGGAGCGCGCTGTGCTGCCAGCCCACACTACAAGACAGGTAAGTAAAGCTTCACATTCGCTCCATAAGACGCACAGACATTTCCCCTCACTTTTGAGGGGGAAAAAAGTGCGTCTTATGGAGCGAAAAATACGGTAAGTGAATTGTTCACTTAGGTTGAGGAGTATAGACTAAACATATCTCATATATATATATATACCTCAGATACATATACCTCAGATAAATGGGGCAAAAGAGAATCCCTCATTCAGACCCAGAGGTTGTAATGTCTTGAGTCTAAAAATCCATCTAGACTCTCTCTGTCTTAGTAAACGATCATAGTTTACACGCCTCGGATGTCTCTTGACCCATTCGAGACCACAAAATTTCAAATTACTGGAATCACCCTGATGGTGTTCCTTAAGATTTCTTGAAATGGGTGTTTCAAGTCGGTTCTTAGGGGACCTTACATGCTCCATAATCCTTTCCTTAAAAGGCTCTAAATGTCTTACCTACATACTTTTGTCCACAAGAACAGGACAACAGGTAGACCAAACCCTTTGTATTGCAGTTGAAAAAGTTTTTGATTCTAATCGAGACTTGGCCTGTGCCATCATTCACTACACATCTACCACAGCCATAAGAACCACATGGAGGATTACCCAACCATGTGTCTCTCGGCTGTGGTTTGATAGATAGATGACTTGGTACTAGTAGGTTGAGAATATTGCGACCTCTTCTAGCAGTAATATTGATGCATGGACCTAAGATTTCCTTCAGATGCATATCATTCAAAAGAATCGGCCAAAATCTATTAAGACACTTTCTTACTTCAGACCATCCCGTATCATATGTAGCAAGCATACGGATATCACCCGTATTTTTGGAGGTCTTTTTCACAGGGTGGTCACAGAGGAGTTCTTTTCTATTAGTTTTAAGGGCTCTCTTATAGGCTTTCTTAAGGCAACGATTTGGGTAGCCTTTCTCCTTAAAATAGATACGAATGTTGACTCGCTTTCATTTTGAAATCAGCCACATCACTACAGTTTCCCAGGAGGCGAAGGTATTGACCAACCAGGATCCCCTCCTTGAGGGGCCTTGGATGGTAACTTCTCCAATGGAGGAGGGAATTTGTAGCAGTCGTTTTACTATAAAGAGTAGAGTGAAATGTCCCATGACTTACTATTATGCCCTTGAGAAAGGCGAACATTATCGCCAAAACGCGCGTTGGGCTTGGGGGGGTGTGTATGTTTTTTCCACACTCTACAGACTGCCTTTATTTAAGTCTGGGTTACCTATATATGAACCCTCTTTACTGCCTTCTCACTTTATTTTTTCATCTATTTGCCTCTCCCTTTCTGTCCTGTTGATTTACTAACTCTGTAGATATACACTGAGCTAATTTAGCCAAGATACTTTTTGAAATTTGTAGTAAGCCATCAGGATTTTTGTGTAGAGGCAATATATATATTTATTTATGAGGGTAGAAAAGTGAAGAGATACCTATTTATCTATAGATATTAAATATTCTATTGATTTGAAGGAACCAGAATCTATTTCAGCCTGTTTCTACTGTATTACAATATGTTACCCCTATGGAAACTCTTGCTACATTGTTGCACACTCTAGTGGCTATGTTGCTACTTTTTAAACAAAAGATTTAGTTACTGAGTATTAGGTTTAATAATTTGTACGTGTGCAAGCTGGAATACCTTTCTCTATGTACCTCCATCTCTAGTCTAAGCAGTCTGGTGTATTTTAAATAGATGGTGTCTTGGGTTTTTTCAATAAAACTATTATTTTTTACACTTTGTTTGATACACAGTAGTTGGCAAACTTATCTATATTGCTCCAGTGGGGGTCCTAGTTTTGAAGGGATTTGCTCCCGTCTTCTAGGGTCGCTTCTCCATCATTTCTGTATTTTTTGTGTGTTTGTTAAGATAAGGGTTAGGCCCTTTTAGTACCCCTGTAACCCATTCTCTTTGTACTTTTTTGCTAGATTTGCTCCAGCTAAAAGTACATTGTGTCTATTATTTAAAAGAAAGACGTCGTTATAAAAAGAAGAATTTAGATTAATGAATCTAATAAAAAGAGTAAAATATATATACTTGTGAAACACTACGCAGGAGCCGTGTGTACAGTGACATACCGTTGTGTCCACGGCTGTAACTTTTTTGGGAGGTATGTGCTGGGGGAGAGTTTTCTCCTGTGAAACAATGACACAGCCTTCTCCTCCCAGTGTCACGATAACCACTTTGCAACCCTTTTCCAAGAGCGCCAAACCCGCTTTACCAGCATCAGCAGAACTTTGAACTGGAACGCTGGTTAAAATCTCTGCCTAAAAAAATTAAAAAAAGAGTTAAATATTGCGGTGTAATTCTGCATGTGGCACTGGCACAGATATGCATATGCCACACTTAATATATCTATTTATATATATATATAAAAGAGAGAGATAAGCAAGACATGAAGCGTTTGGCTTGCTGGGAGGGTGAGTGATGTGAGGCTCACGTTCTCCAGTAATCAAACAGTTAAAACTATAGAGACTTGCTGGGTTCAATGTTGTGGACTGCTGCCATGTAAAATGTCAAGTCAGACTAGAATGAGGGTTCAGTAGGAGTTTGCTGCCAAGATCTTATGCTTTGCAAATGACACCCTGATAGTCTTTGAAGACAATGATGGCAAAGTTAATGCGAACCTGGCATTGCTTTTCTTACAGTGTGAGGAAAAGTCAGAAAGTGTTAGAGACAGCTTCAATTAATATTATTATTACACCCATTTTTAAAGCAACAAATTTCTTAGCGCTGTACAATTGGGGAAAAAGGCAGTGCAATATGCACAGACCGATACAAAAGGTTTGATCACAATAAACACAAGAGAGAAGTGCTGAGCAAACAAAATACACACATGCAGCATGTTTTAGATAGGTGGTGTGTTCCCGATTAATTAGAATTGGCCAAGGGACAATATTATATTTATTTACTGAATTACCAGACTGCACAATACATGTATGTACGTAGTCGGGAATTACGATGCAACATAAACATAACTAACCCCATTCAGCCCCCCAATAACGACAGACAACTTAGTATGGATGAACAGGCCACAGCATTTATTATAACATAAATAAATTACTGCATAACACATCCATAACTTTATTAAACTCTTCTTTTCTGTAACCAAATTGTTAGAAATAAATAATCATAAATTAACATATATACATATATAACTCAACACATAGTGTTATGCAGTGACCCAACCGTCCTTGCCAATAAACATATAGTGGTTCCTAATCACCACTTCCTCTCACCTCCCCCCTCGTCATAAAATCATATCTTCCCAATGCCCGCCATCAGCCGACCTTATCCACACTCGATGGGCACAACACCTCAGGCAACCTAATGTTAACCTTTTGAAGCAGGGGAGGTTGAGACCTGCAAACATGATGAACTTACTCCATCCTTAAACATAACCCCTCAAACTTAATTGGCAAGGACATACCCCCGGCTCGCTGTGACTAACTAAAACAACAAGGGGTGGGCAGGCAGGAAGCTGTTTGCTGGCCCGAATCCCAAGTGGCACTGAGGTAAGACCTCCCCCCTACTAGCTCACATAGCCCAAACCCCACCCACACACACACACTTCCGAAGACACTCCCATACATGTGCCCTTGTCTGCTTAGCTGCGCTATCTCCCCAGGGCCTGTAACACTGGTAAAGCTCGACAAACTCACATCTTACGGAGCTGCCCTGCTCAATGTCTGTGACTTGGGTGGAAAATCAGCAGAATGGAAATTGTACTGAATTCTGGAGAACATGAGGGGTTCTGCCAAATCCAAACACTGCACCAACATACTGTGATCAAAATTCACAGATAACCCAAAAAGGGGAACTGTGGCTCACCTCACTCTCATTACAGCAGAAAATGTCTGAATAGCTGAAGAACTCTGGGTCAAGAGAAGTGATGGCCGGGGCTGGATTAAATATCGTCTTAACTAAAATCAAAGAAAGAAAAAAAACACAGTTAAAACGAGACAGGCATATCATCTGCTGTACAACGACAAATTGAGTTAGACAGAATAGTGACATTAATCAAATAGCTCTACAACTGCGGTTATTACTACAATTATTTTTACAATCACAGCAGTGTTTATTATTATTATAACTATCATTCATAGATTGCCAACATAGTCACATCACAATTTACAGTGATGGTATAAAAGAATAACTCACTGGCTAACAAATTTCTTAGGATGGTCTTCTCTTACAAGGTTACAGCCAAGGAGGAAGTTGGCTAAACCTTTTATTAAAGCGGCTCTGTCATGCACACTTCCAAAATGAGCATTTCACAAAGATGAAATCTTTATGAAATACTCACATTGAATGTGTTGGAATTTCACTGAAATTCTAACCCAGTCAAAAGATATACTAAGACAACTAGGGACTACTTTGTCTTTGGATTTTTCCTGCTCCTGACAAAAAGGCGGTGCTACCTTTTGTCAAGCTCTCAGCCATCACTAGCGACAACGGAGAGAAAAAAGGCTCTGTAACGGAGCTTCCTGTACCCCGGTTGGGTACCTCTGCAGACAGATGCTCCTAGTGCTCACCGGAACTGTGAACTGGAACACTGGTTAAAATCTCACTCCACCAGACCCCACAACCGCCGCAGTTTGGTTGGGGTCTCGCCGTCTCCTACCCACCCTGGACCTATGACAAGGCTCCAGGTTCCAGTGGGTGAGCCTCTCTTCCACCAGAGAGTCAAGCAGGAATAGCTCTTACAAGAGCTTATAGAATCCAAGGGAGTATAGTGATTATAGCAATCCTTTCTGGTGATGTAGCAGTTTCCCCCAACAAGAGACAAGACTCTAGATTGAGGGTGGAGTAAATCTGTTTAATGGAAGCAACAGCTGGCGTTTGATGCAGGTTTCCCAACAAGGGTGACTTCCAGATGGACCATGTTGGGCACAGGGACATAAAGTGTACAAACCAATGAAAACAATGTGACAATGAATGACACTCCCACATACAGCACACAATCCTTCCCCTCTGCCTGTGATATAATTAAGGCAGATAATGCATTAACTTAATTATCCCCAGGCAGAAAAAAAACACACATTTGTAGAAAATCCAATAAGTACCCCAAAATACAACATATCCACCCTGATCTGGGTGAACAACATATCCAAAAGTCACCCACAGATCACTTCAGGGGTTCAGGAATTTCCTGGAAGTCATAGTTTTGACCCACCGTGCACATGGTCCCATGCCCAAAACAGTTCCTGAGAATAAGGTCTAACAGTCGGTCTCTCTGTCTGGAGTACAAAAATACATACTTCACCTGAACAGAGCCTTTTAAAGTGCATTGGGCAAGATATATTGCAGGGCCCATAGTCCTGAGGCAAGAGGCTGGTCAGAAGGCCCCTCCAAAAGCCAAACACGAGGTTACTTTGGTCACAGGCTCTGTCTACGGAGGGTCCCTCAGTCTCTCGGGATCCTCCATCTCATGTGTACAACGCTGACATGCCGTGAACTGAAGAGAACTGGCAGGACACTGGCATGGCGGAGGCTGTAAGGGACAGGTTCAGGTAAGGATAACTCACCTTCCCCTCGGCTACACTGTCGTGCATGAATGATAGGGGTAAAAGCCGCAGCTCTGCTACAGTTACATCATTTATACTGATCAGGTTACTTGTGAAAATAAAGAGTGCCTTGCTCCATAATACTGCTTTTATTTTGTCATGTAAGCAGTTTATTTAATAGAACAAAATGACCCCAGTTTCTCTTTAATCTTATGAGGGCTAGAAGAGGCCACATCTCATGCAGTCAAAAAGATGTAACTTCAACATGTTGGTTGAACCAAAAACAACCACACTGCTGATGTTCATATGGTGGCAAGCACAAGACATTTTAATTTGGCATGGCTGGTGGCATTCCCAAGCTAAACATGGATTCTATTTACTGCTCACTTAAAGGAGATCCTCTTAACATTCATTATAAATATGGCAAACCTGATAAAAGAACATTATCGGTATAAATCATACCAGCTTTGTGGCCTGTGGCTCTCTGACAAGCCCACTACACTCAAATACCCATGTGGCTTCAATCAGGCCCTTGAGAACTGGACTTGTTTTTTAATAAATCACAAATGTGTTTGTCTGACCCAATTTGAAATCAGGCAAGAGATCAAAACATTTTCATTGTTTTTTGAGACTTGTTAAAAGGCCTTCAGCTGAGCTCATGCATTTCCATTGGCAAAAGGCTCTGATCATTCTGCTTAATTTTTAATCAGTAATGTAATTTTGGCTCATTTATTAACTATTGTTCTTATTCTAATTATTCGAGAAATCATGTTACTGGAGAGATATCCTATAGTCTGTTTTTGATCAAACATATATTGATCAGATTTACCTAGGTGTGCTGTGTGAAAACTTACATCACAAGGCAATAACGCTAAATGATTTCTCCAGACGTAATTAAGGAGCACTGCAGTCACCAAAACAACTTCAGCTTCAAGGATCACTATAGGGTCAGGAACACAAACATGTTTTCCTGACCCTATTGTGTTAAAATCACCATCTAGCCACCCTGGGCCCCTCATGCCTCCCTAAACATAGTGAAATCTTACTGTATTCAAGCCTGAAGCTGTAACTGTGCATGCTGTTAGACTCAGAAAAACAAGCTGTCTGCTGACATCATCAGAAGTGGTGGCCTGATCCAATCACAATGCTTCCCCATAGAATTGGCGGAGACTGACAAGGAGGCAGATCAGGGGCAGAGCCAGCATGATTCAAACACAGCCCTGGCCAATCAGCATCTCCTCATAGAGATGAATTGAATCAATGAATCTCTATGAGGAAAGTTCAGTGTCCGCATGCAATGGGAGAAGACACTGAATGTTTGGATGCATTTTAATTGTCCCTTTAATGAAGCAGTTTTGGTGTATAGATCATGCCTCTGCAGTCTCACTGCTCAATTCTCTGCCATTTAGGAGTTAAATCACTTTGTTTATACAGTCTTAGTCAAACAAATTAATTTAGAATTTCTTATCTCTTGCACTGCTAATAATTTGCTAGACTCTGTATATGTAATTAAATCTCAATTTTTTAGAGCAAGTGGTAAACACTTAAGTAAGTTGAATCTGATTGAAAATGAAACCATTTTGTTTTCATTCAGGCTATGTCAGTCACAGCCGGGGAGGTGTGGCTAGAGCTGCATATACAGAAACAAACGTGTTTTAACTCCTAAATGGCAGATAATTGGGCAGTGAAATTTCACAGGCATGGTCTATACTAAAAGCTGCTTCATTTAGCTAAAGTTGTTTTGGTGTCTATGGTGCCCCTTTAAATATCCATTCACCAAAAACTAGACCTGACTAGACGACATGGCATTGACCCCAGAATATCTACAAATCCTCACGATTAATGCAAAAGGCCTAAACAAACCTGAGAAGAGATCAGGAGCACTCAGAGACTTCCACAAACAGAGGGCCTCAATAGTCATGATACAGGAAACCCACTTTAAAAAGGGAACCAGACCCAAACTGACAAATCAGCACTACACGCAGGGATACTATAGTGACTACCAAGGGGGCAAGGCGAGAGGGACAGCAATACTTTTCCACAAGAGGGTGCCATTCCAGGAGGGGGGATGTATGACAGACGACGGGGGCAGATACCTATTCCTTAAAGGGAAGATCGCAGACCACCAATACACGTTTGCAAACATCTACGCACCAAACTCACAACAATATCGCTTCCTCAAACAGACATTCCGCAAACTCCAAGCCTTCACAGAAGGGACTCTTATAATAGGGGGAGATTTCAACGTAACACTCGACCCGACATGGGACAACTCGACAGGCGCTTCACACATCCCCACACAGCAGATTTCCGCCATTAAATCCCTGCTCCGCAGCCAACGACTGGTGGACTGCTGGAGAGCCCACCACCCAGGCGTGAGAGTCTTCACCTTTTACTCTCACCCCCACAACTCTTACTCACGAATAGACCACATATATACCACATACCACGACCTCTCCCTAGTGTCCGATGTAACAATCGGAGTGGCCACATGGTCAGACCACGCCCCAGTATCACTCACACTCAAATCACCACTCTACCGCCCCACGACCTCGAAATGGAGACTAAATGAATACTTACTCACCAATCTAGAAGTCGTAACTCTCATAAGGGAGAAAATCAGGGACTACATGATGACCAACACAGGAGAGCAAACATCCCAGATGATTCGGTGGGAAGCGCATAAAAGCGTGATAAGGGGCCACTATATACAACAGGGAGCAATAGTAAAGAAACAAGCCGAAGCTCGGTTCAAGGAACTGATAGCCAACATACACGAGACAGACGACCAAAACAAACAAACCCCAAACCACACACACCAAACCCGACTCCTACAACTGAGACGGGAACTAGCCACACTACTACACTCTAAACACCACAGAGATGCGACCAGACACAAAGCCTTTTTTACATTGCATGGGAACAAAAGTGGCAAACTCCTAGCCGCAATGCTGAAGAAGCAGAGACAACACACATACATTGATAAGATTAGAGACAAACGGGGGACCTTACACCGACTCCCGACAGACATCATGAAAACGATACGTACATACTACACAGAACTATACGCACTCCCTCAACCGAAAACCAACACGGCAACGACGCGCCTCAGTGCCACTATTCGCGACTATCTGACGAAATACCAGACACCGACACTGGACCCAGAGATAGCAGAGTTAATAGACGAACCAATCACAATAGAAGAATTAGCACTGGCGATTAAGCTAACCAAACCAGGCAAAAGCCCAGGACCAGACGGACTGCCGATTAAATATTACAAAACATATGCCGAAGACTTATACCCACCCATGGTAGAGGTGTTCAACGCGATACGAGATGGGAACCACATCCCCAGACAAGCCCTAACAGCCCACATCACTATTATCCCCAAAGACGGCAAAGATAGGGAACAATGCGGAAATTACAGACCGATCTCACTTATAAATTGCGACATTAAATTACTGGCCAAAATCCTGGCAACCCGACTTACAAAACATATCCCTTCACTGGTCCACCCGGACCAGGTAGGGTTCGTGACAGGAAGGGAAGCTCAAGATAATACCATCAGGGCGCTCACCCTCATGCACGGGAAAGAGAGTATGAAAGGGGGTCTCCTCCTGCTGTCAACGGAAGCAGAGAAGGCCTTCGACAGAGTAAGCTGGACATACCTATTCGAAACACTGGCCCACGTAGGATTAGGACCACACATGCGACAATGGATAGAGGCACTATACGAGAACCAACAGCCCAAGTGCTGGTAAATGGGGCACTGACAGATGCCTTCCAAATACACAATGGCACGAGACAGGGATGCCCCCTCTCACCACTCCTGTTCGTCCTTGCCCTCGAACCGTTCCTTACACACATCCGAAATAACACAGACATAACCGGCCTAACGACAGGTAACACGCACCACAAAGTGGCCGCCTACGCGGACGATTTACTCTTCATTATAACCAACCCTGAAATCTCCCTCCCAAATATCCAGAAAGACCTACAGGTATATGGAGAAATATCCAACCTGAAAATCAATAACAGTAAATCGTTCATTCTCAATATTAGCATCCCTACTGCAAGGGCGAACCCCCTCCGACACAGCTTCCCCTTCCAGTGGGCCGAGCACAGAATTAGATACTTGGGAGTCTGGTTGACTAGGCAGAGCGGAGACATGCTTAAGGAAAACTTTACAAACACACTTCAGACATTTCAAAAAGACATGCGGGAATGGTCATATCCACACATCTCCTGGCTGGGGAGAGTACATGTAATAAAAATGAACTTCTTACCACGCCTGACGCAGCCTAAAGATAAAGGAGGCTTAGCCCTCCCAGACTTCCACCTATACTATGTGGCCACACACCTACAGAGAGTTGTAGAGTGGACAAAAGACAGGGTACACAAACTGTGGAAGACGGTGGAGGAGACGGAGGCGGGTAGACCAATCTCGGGACTGCCCTGGGACCGAAACGCGACGAACTGTGACGAAATGTCCATCTACACCAAACACACCCTGAAAATATGGAGGAGGGCAGCGATGAAGGGGAACATATCGCCATATCCCTCTCCCCTCCTTCCATTGACGTTTAACAAAGACTTTCCCCCGGGACTAGACCCGAGAGCCCTCAGAGACATCCTTCCAGACACACACCCATGCTTACATCACGTCATACAGGAAGGGAAATGTAAAAAGCTTCCGGACATGATGGGAGAAGTACCCCCGACCTTCATGCACAACTTTCGATACTCCCAACTAGCCAACTACATTCGCACCCTACCACAGGGCTTAGCACTCACTAGAGAACACACCACATTAGAGGTGGTCTGCATGCACCCAGACCCGCTCCCACACGGAGTGTCCTTCCTATACACCATGTTACAAACAGACATCCCAACCGAGACACCTGTATTTATGGGGAAATGGGAGAAAGCCCTAGGACACACATTGGGAATCCATTTGTTACCTCACACACCACTGCTCCACACACAGTAAAACACAAGAGACAGCCTACAAATTACTAACTCATTGGTACAGGACACCACACCTCCTACATCAGATAGACCCAGATCAACCTGGCCTATGCTGGAGATGCCAACAAGAAGAGGGAGACATGAAACACATCTGGTGGGACTGCACAAAAATGAAACCATATTGGCAAAACATACACAGAATGCTTGAGAAATTCACAGACGAACCACCCCCCCTGGAACCAGCAGCAATGCTCCTACACCACACTCCTACACCACACTCTAAGTACAAACGATCCATGATCATCCGAATACTTAATATAGCCAAACGAGTAATCCCCCAATTCTGGAAACAGAACATAACACCTCCACTAAAGACCTGGTTCAGCCAAATGGAGGAACTCAGAATAACAGAGGAACTGACCATGACGACTAACGTGACCCCAAAGTCCTACATGGACATTTGGACATATTGGATCCTAGAGACAGCGAAGGAAGGATTCCAAATGGAACTCGGAACAGACGTACGCCAAACCACGGACAGTTAGGACTTAGAACACCCACTGGACGACAGATGACGGAAGACAATGACTACAGACACCCCCCTCCCCACCCTAACCCCGACTTTCCCTACCCCCTCTCTTCTAAAGACCCACGCAGGACAATACCCCAACCAAAGCAGAAATCAATACATATAGAGGAGACACTAGTGCCCTGAATGAAAAACCCATACGGGTTCACACACATCCCATAACCTCCAAGAGACACGATCCTACTGGAACATGGGCCGAGCAGACGGGATAATCACAAAATAGCCTGAGGACAGCAACAAGCTACAATCACACCTTCCCGAAATATGAGCCATAAACCTCTCAACACGGGTACACCGTACCCCATACACACGACATCCAGGACACTAAGTGGAGGCTCACATAAGTCTGCTAAAGACACAATACCCAACATAAGATGTAGGGACCGGAACGTCGCCTAACAATAAAGGTTGGATAAGAGGTCTGCGAACCTCAACACAAATGTAACACGAATCCCGGCTACTGTACATGAATCATATAAATCACATAAACACGATTTAATTAGTAAAATAAATGGCAGATGGTAAAATGTACATGAAGTTACTTGTGAATCTGGAAAATAGGGACTTGCAAGTCCGTCAACATGGGGCCTGCGAGCCCAAACATACATTGATGTTTTCTAAAAATTATGACTACTCACCTCAGAGACCTGCGAGTCTCCGACATATACGTAAGTAATATAAATATAAATAAAAATTATATTCACCAAAAAAAAAAAAATATCCATTCACGTTTTAGTAATAATATCGCTTTGGGATCCAATTAAGCACATGAAAGCAGCACTGTCACTTTGTGGGATTTTTTGCATTTTTTAAATTCACCTTGATTTTTGTTTAACACATGGGATAAGACGGCCAGTACGTTTTCTTATGTTGCTCTTATGATCTTTAGCGATAAGGACGGGGAAAATAAAATGATAGTGCTGCTCTATCCCTGTGATTCTGTCATGGACACAAATTTTGCACGTCATTAACTTAATTGGCCCATTTCTCATTTGTAAAAAAACAGATTTAAAAGTAAGATTTTACAATTTTTCAGCCAAATTTTTCACATTGTATTATCTTGACACGCCATTCTAATTATTCAGAATAAACATTTGATTTCTCAATATCAAACGGATTTAATTGCGCTGGGGAGGGCAGTGCTGCTACATTAGCCAAATAATTTTATTTTTTTTAGTTACTTGGTGACTGATTAATATGATCTATCAGTACCAGTAAAAAACAAACGCTGAAACAGCAATTTTGGGTCCTGACCCAGGGGTTAAGAATGACTGCATTAACCCATTAGGGACCAATTGTATAACAATGTGCAGATATTTTAAAATACATCATTTCCAAGCAGTAAAGTTGGAGTGTGGCAGACACATACTGTGCACATTTTTCCCTTCCTGACTCTTGGAAAAAGAATATTTAACCCCAAATTCTAAAACATCATCATTCATTGTTTATTAATAATTCCTCATCAATTGAGAAAAGTAATATAGGGATGCAATGAGAGAAGTTTAGACTCACTGTGACAACAAAGACAAGGGTTCTACTATAGGACAGTACAATTATTTCATGTGATCAAATCCATCAATATTTTATAGGAAATGGAACAGATTGATCTCACCTCCACTGGCACGGGCCATCTTCAAAGCTTTCAACGATATCTCAGGTAAAATCTCCAGCTGGCACACCATTACCTTGGCTGCACTAATGGCACCCGCAGCTTTTGACAGATCTCCAGAGTCCAGCAATAAATTGGCACCGGCGACTATCACAATAGCATTTTGGCCTGTGGGACAGAAGATACCATTATTACTAGGTGCTACATGTGTCACTAGAAGAAGTCAGCCAGCCCAAATGGGAGTCATTAGACACAGCTATGAGATACGTAGTTTCAGGTACACACACATACCCAAAGACGAATTATAGGTTTATGATGAATATTTTTTGCCATATTTGTATTTGCTAATAATTTATCAAGTAGAAATGTTATTGTCTACTTAAACGGTTCTATTTGTGACTCACAGGCGTACAATGCCCTTTAGCTACTGGAACAGCTTCTACAAGAATACCCAAGTGATCTCGCACAGCTCCGTAAGCTTCACCAAATCATCATCCTGGTCTGTCTCAGGTCAAGTACCAGAGGAAATAATATCCCTACTCAGAAAGCTGGCACAGAGGAAAGATGAATATTGTACCACCCTGTGGACGGCATGTGGCACACAGAGTGGAAGGAAGGGAAGGGGTGTTCTGGGGTAGACAGAAGATGGGTCGATTTAATAAAAGGTCTTAGTCAGTGAAGTGCTCTAAGGTCGTTTTCTCTTGGTGAAGCTCTGGTGGTTTTCATTTATTGGCACAATTCACTGTTATTTTTGTTTTGTTTTTTTAAATTAAGTTTATTTTGCATGACAGTGGTTGTTCTGAATGTGCTAAAAGCCTCCTAGTATCTCGACCCTGTCTTCTGTTACACATACCCTACCCCCCCCCACCCAAAAAAAACCCCAACAATATATCAGGCATTTACATTTTTTCCAGTTGGATGCAGTCATGCATTTTTTGTGCCAGGAGTCGCCATTTAAACCGTACCAAAGAAATGTTGCTTCTCTAATTGTGACAGTTCTCCATTCTCAGGAAAGCCATCCATAGTGACATACACAGACACCATGGCAAATAAATTGATATCCCGGACACCCTGATATATGATCTATATAATAAGGAACTTTTTTTATAAAGGTGTAAAATAGGCACAATCTTTAGATTAATTAACAGATTATTATTAGGTGATACAAAAATGACATCAGTGACATTTCCACTTACAGTTTAGTTCATGTAAGCGTGACCCTCACTGCCTCATGTTCACTTGTCTTGTTAACTAAATCTGTCTTCTTAACTTGTGTCTCACTCCACCCATTATGCAGTGCAGTGCAGTGCAATATACTGCAGTTTTATATATAATGATAATAATATAAAAGGTGCTACTTTGATTAGTTTGTGGTGGCCGTGTGAATGAAGCATGTGAGAGTACCAAGAAGAGGAGGAAGAACTCACCTTCGCTGTTCACAATGATGGAAGCCACGCCAGTAGCTGCCGCATCTGTCTGATAAACAAAATCTGCAATGGGAAAATTAGAAATATACTGGAATACAGAAACCATGGTAAAAGTAAAATATTTTACATAAATTCTACTTAAACCACTTCAAGCCAAGAAAACAGAGCCAAGAAGAATTATGACTTTTCTTCCCGTTTATGTATGTTTATAGAGAGCAGATGTGCTGGAAATGGACTCTAGGAGAAAATGTTCTCCAGAGAGACTGAAAAACTGCTTCTGGGGAGAATACAGCTATAAAAACTATGCAATATAATCCACCAGCCCTCTTAGCTTACATACCAATATTCTCTACTACTTGGGTGTAAGGCGGAGATTATAAGAGGGCAGGGTGTGTCAGTTCTGTGTGCATGCACCTTGCTAATGATACTCGTGATGCACTCACCCAATCAGCTGTGTTAATGCACATGACCTGAGAGGTAGACAGGTATGCAATGCATTGATAGAGATTAAACATCAGAAATGGCCTATAGGAGGCTTGCCAAGCTGATGAACTACTACATCTACCACATATTACTGTTTACGGCGTTCAAAGAAATATGTAATTATTACTTCTATAAAAGCTAGAGCTCTACCTATTGGCAATGCCTAGACCCAGAGTTTATAGAAAATACTAAGATAAAAAGGCTGAGCAATACCAAACAAGTCCCAGATGTTGTAACAGGAATGAAAGGGTATGGTGGGCCGATTTGTGACATTTGCTGCAGAGTTAGGGATGGCTAGAACAAGAGGTCCTGTCCTATAGTTAAAAAAGTAGGGGATTAAAAAATGATTAGAGAATGGGTTGGGTTTATGAGGCAGACAAGAAAAACTAATAATTGGGTACAATTTTTGACATTATTTAAGATTTAGATGGGCGTAATAAGCACAGATTTTTTTAAATGTTAAGGCAGCCTGGACATTGGAAATATAAATAATTTATCTTTACTAGTTTTAGCCTGTCAATCCGTTATTTAATAACTAGAACTTGTCGGCTTTCCAAGGCAGTTTCTGGTGAAACTTTACACCGTATTCAAAATGCCTGCTGGTTTCAGTGAGCTTGTTGAACTTACAAAGTGTGCCACAAAAGGCAATTAACAAATCAAAACATTAAAAACAAACATACGATTTTGGCCGAGTTTCATACAAAATGACATTTGACTCTGAAGGTTCTCCTTTTAATTATTGTATCACATACCATTTTATTTATGCTATATTTACCTGTAGACACCTTGTTCTTCTTGAAGTTCTCTCTGTAATTGTTCCCGAATGAATCCTTCCCAACCTGCAGAGGAAGCAGTAACCAGCATCAAGCTATCCTCATATATTATTATTATTATTATTAAAACACGGTATGTTTAATTCCCCATGATGCCGGAAAAGCCCACAAGGTCTCAAATAATCTATTCCATTATTTATTTGTGTGCTTTCTTTCCCCAGTGTTGTTTGACCCTTAATATCAGCATTGTGGTATTAGTTTGGGCAAGAGTAAGTAGTGATATCTGGCAAACCCTGATTTGACTGAGTATGCTGTCACAGGTCCTAATAAACAAATATTGCAAAGGTGACCTTTATAATATGTCAATAGGTTGCATGGCACATGTAACATGTCACATACATGTTAGGTGGGAGAGAGATGGGTGTAGTGTTAGTACCATGTGGTGCCAGATGTGAGGCAAAGGGGAGTTCTTCTCCTAAAAAAAGTAAATAAAAAAAATTGATGTGTGCAGCACGAGTGCCATGTGGCACAAGATGTGTGAGTTGAAAAAGTAGCGTCTCTCTTCAACAAAAACTGGCTACTACAATTTTCTTTTGGCTCCAAGATCCAGACCAATTCTCTCAAACACTGCAGCAAGTCAACCTATTTCATTTTAACAGACACAAAAAAAACCTGACCCACAAGCTTAGAATCTAACAAATCTCCATTCTCTTCTCTAAGATACCCAGTTATAAAAATACAGCGCTAATAGCACTTGGCAGTTTTACTCGACAGTTACAACCCATTGTCTGCCAGGAATATCTATTACAAATAAACACAATTTTTACGGAGAATGTGTGTCATATGGTATTCACTATTTTAGAACAGGATGTATATTAGAAGATCTAATAATACCTCCTGCAGGTGCCAGATTTAGCCTCCTTGGACAGGATGTATATTAGAAAATCTAATAATATCTCCTGCAGGTGCCAGATGTAGCCTCCTTGGACAGTAGGTGTTAAATATTCTGGGGTAGAACGTGGTCTGTGGAATTTCACAGAGGAGAAATGCAGATACCAGGAACAGCAGGCTCCACAGCAGGCCTGGAGACTTTCCAAAACACAAAGAACAAACATTTCTGGGGAAAAAAAAGCTGCTTTCCACTCAACCAGACGATAAATATGTCAAATACCGATCAAACCAGTTCACATTTTCAGCAGTGGATGGCTCTGTTAGTTTGGAGAATTGAGCTGAATCGGTATATTTATAGTATGGGAGATCCTGGCTTATTAGATCAGTGTCATACAGCTGAGAACGTGGACCCGTAGAAGTATATCCAGTCTATGGGGGAGTGCGCTGTGCGTACCCTGCAAATCTTTCTTCTCACCTTTAACCCCTTAAGAACCAAATTTCTGGAATAAAAGGGAATCATGACATGTCACACATGTCATGTGTCCTTAAGGGGTTAAAGGGACGCTATAGTCATCAGAATAATGACAGCTTAATGTAGTTGTTCTGGTGAGTATAATCATTGCCTTCAGGTAATTTCATGCAAACACTGCCTTTTCAAAGAAAAGGCAGTGTTTACATTGCCCCTAGGGACACGTCCAAGTGGCCACTCCTCAGATGGCCACTGGAGGTGCTTCCTGACTCAGTGCTGCACAGTAGGAATGCTCTGCATGGGGACGCTGAATTTTCCTCATAGAGATGCACTGATTCAAGTTAGAACTGATTGATATGTGTCACTGTGTTCCTATATTACTCCAGCACGAGAAATGCTGGATAGTTAAAGGACCACTATAGTGCCAGGAAAACATACTCGTTTTCCTGGCACTATAGTGCCCTGAGGGTGCCCCCACCCTCAGGGTCCCCCTCCCGCCCGGCTCTGGAAAGGGAAAAGGGGTTAAAACTTACCCTTTTCCAGCGCTGGGCGGAGAGCTCTCCTCCTCCGATCCTCCTCCGTTACGCCCCGCCGGCTGAATGCGCACACTCGGCAAGAGCTGCGCGCGCATTCAGCCGGTCTCATAGGAAAGCATTTACAATGCTTTCCTATGGACGCTGGCGTGCTCTCACTGTGAAAAATCACAGTGAGAAGCACGCAAGCGCCTCTAGCGGCTGTCAATGAGACAGCCGCTAGAGGAAATAGGGGAAGGCTTAACCCATTCATAAACATAGCAGTTTCTCTTAAACTGCTATGTTTATGAAAAAATGGGTTAACCCTAGCTGGACATGGCACCCAGACAACTTCATTAAGCTGAAGTGGTCTGGGTGCCTAGAGTGGTCCTTTAAGTAATCACATCAAGTACTGCATGTCAGCACTAGTTACAGTGACAGACAGCAAAAGAACTGTCTGTAGGAGGGTTCTCCAGCTTTCACTGTCAGTTATTAGTAGAAGTATTTGCCATCTGAGCAGACCACTATGCTAAATAATTACTATTTCTTTCATTCACAGCATCTACACGTCTGATAAAAAGGTTTTTATCTTTAATTGTATATAGTGGGCCGTGTACTATAACAGGTACAATTTAAAGAGACAGCCCAATCATCCAAACAGCCAATGTTCCTTGCTTTGGTTATGGTGTAAGGAGCTTCAGAGTCCTTGTCTTGCTATTATATAGCATATATATATATATATAGCATATATATTAAATAATATTGATGGAGCAAACCTCCACGGAAAGCCATCCAGTTCCCTGGTCACTCATATTGATTTCTTCTTTAAAGTATTCTTAATGCAGATTTAAAGAATATAGAAACTTACAAAGGGGCATTCGGGCACCGAGTCTGCCATTACTACCAGTGGAAACACTGAATGTGTGGCGCATGGATCTGTTGGTCTTAATGAAACCAATGTAGAAATTGCACGGTTAGATATTTAAACCAGGTAGAGAATGCCAGCAAACCCCCTCCCCCATTCTGCCTGACACATTGCTTGCCTACAAGCAATCATGGAGTCTCCAAAATAGCAATCCAGGTCTCTTGGGGGTATCCATGTTTTATAATTTTCTCTACTGTACACACAACATCTCCATTACCTTGCAAACCATGGTTGTCTGGGCTCCGAGTCGCGCTGCCTGGATACACTGATTTGCACCTTTTCCTCCAAAACCAATAAAAAACTTACTGCCATGGATTGTTTCTCCAGCTTTCGGCAGACGAGGGGTTATACTACGAAATAAGACAGAAGCACACAGAATATGAAGAATATGATGGGAGGACTTTGAACCTTGTGGAGAGCTAATATCTTTATTTGTCTGAACAAATGTGTTAATTATTATTATTATTTATATAGCGCCAGCAAATTCCGTAGAATGGGTGGACTAACAGATGTAAATAGACAAATGGATGCACAGAAACAGAGGGGTTGAGGGCCTGCTCACTTAGCTTACATGCTAGAGGGAGTGGGGTATAGTGACACAAAGGGTATAAGTAGGGGTAATAAAATAGGTTGATAGAAAAGTATTCACTGAGAACTTATTAGTTATTATTTATATTTCACAGTTGCAGGAGAGGAGTCATGGGGGGTTGAGGGGGATAAAAACCCACTAATAGTTTATATGATATGCTTGCCTTAAGAAGTGTGTTTTCAAAGATTTTTTTAAGGAGTGGACACTGGGTGAAAGTCTAACGGAGAAGGAAAGGAAGTTCCACAGAAAAGCTGCAGCCCTGGAGAAGTCTTGGAGGTGAGCATCAGATGTGGAAGGCCCTTGTGCCCTTGGCAGAGCGCAAGGGCCTAGACGAGACATACTTGTGTATTAGGGAGGATAGGTAGGTTGGTATTATGTAGGGACTTGTAAGCAAGCACCAGAATCTTAAATTGAGCCTTATATCTAACTGGAAGCCAATGTAGGGACTGACAGAGGGGCGAGGTGTGGAGGTGCGGTTGGACAGGAAAATGAGCGTCTGGAGTTAAATAGGGGTTGATGTGAGCTATGTTTGAGATGGAAGCGGCAGGATTTTGCGATCGACTGGACATGAGGGGTAAGGAGAGGTCGGAGTCAAAGAGAACACCCAGGCAGCGAGCCTGCGTGGTGGAGCTGATGGTAGCACCATTAACGTGGAGGGAGACAGACACAGGAGTAACAACACTTGATGGAGGAAAGACCAGAAGTTCTGTTTTGGGCAGCTTGAGTTTAAGGAAGTAAGCAGCCATCCAGTTGGAAATCGTAGAGATGCAGTCAGAGACACAAGTCAAAATGAGAGAGATCAGGAGAGGACAGGCAGATTTGTGTCATCTGCATATAAATGATATTGGAAGCCAAAGGAGCTGATGAGTTTACCAAAGGAGGCAGTATAGATACAGTAGGGGACCAAGTACAGAACCTTGGGGAATGCCAACAGAGAGGGGTTTGGGAGAAAAGGCAGAGCCAGAGAAAGAAACATTGAAAAAGAGCTGAGAGAGGGGAAGGAGCATTAGGAGAGAGCAGTATCTCGTAGACCGAGATTACAGAGAATGAGAAGAAGCTGTTAATCAACAGTGTCAACGGCAGAAGAAAGCTCAAGGAGAATTAGGATCGCGTAATGGCCGTGAGATTTAGCAGAAATTAAATAGTTGGATACTTTAGTCACAGCTGTTTCAACAATGAAACAAATTGTGCTAAATATACCAGAATTATATTAAAAGTCTCCCTGCCTGTGCATGATATAATTAACCTCACTATGCAGCCTGACCAAAGTCAATAATTCCAGGCAGTTATATGCATTCAGTAACATATAATACTACATGGCAGCCATTATGCTTTAACACCAGGTGACAGCTGAATCACTGGCAATGCTGACTGCAACAAAGCAATAAAGTGGTTTGGAAAATGCCCTAGACAAAGCAATTTGTTCAATAATAATGTATTTGTATATTGAAATAGAGGTCACTATCTGTAATCGACTGTAAAAGAAATATGTCTGCCACTTTCAGTATTATTCCACAGATTGTGTTCATGTATCCAAGAGAATACAACTGTAACAAGGCCTCACAAGGAAACGCTGTAAACGGGAGGGAATACAGAATTTATAAACTACACAAAATTGAAAAGTCCCATTTATTGTCTTTTAAAGGTAAGCACGAGAAACGTGGTCTGTACAAATGGTTAGAGCAATGGACACTTCAGTCTGATAGTATGCCATCTGTGCAAGTTTTCCCACAATGCATTGTTTTGTTTGAAGGACTCTTTCACTGCCAATATTGCTAATTGATTTAATTTTGGTTACTTCCATGCTTAGAGCCCTCCATTTACATGGGGAATTAGACAGATCAAGGAGGATATTGCCGAGCTCTGTTCAAACCAGGCTCGTCCACATGGTTCAAGCTGGATATTGGGGCTTTCACATTAGTTGTGCGGAGCATGCAATTCCTACAAATTTCATCAACTCTGTGGCAAATCTCCTGAGGATTTGAATAAAACCTTTCCATGCTTCTGGCTTGCTTTAAAGTGTTTTTTTTTAGGGGCAAAGCATCTTTATATTTGGCCAAGAAACAAGTAGAGTCAAGCGGATGACTTCATAGTCTGTTGCTATAGCATTAAGTGTGATAAACACTAGTTAGGGATGACCTCATGACTGGTGCTTGCAGGACAATTACCTAAATAATCTATTGTGGCTCGAATTCAAGAATGCAGCCAGCCTGCCAGACGTAAGGTTTTATAAGGATGTTCTAAACCAGATGGAGGAATCCTCATTCACATACTACTGCCTGCATCACCCATGATGTCCCTCCATTCCCTTGCTGGCAAAGCATTATGGTAAATGAAGTCCACAGAATCTAGAATGGCAGAGATAATTTAACCCGTGTTGTGTGCATTTTTGTCTGTGCTTATTTGTGATGGAAATAATGAAAAATGAGGAAATTAGATGCACTATATTAACATGTGTGATAGGTAAATTAAATAGACACTCCCAGCATGATAAGTAATACAGCCTATTATAGAGGACGTGGTGCCTGGGTGCTATGGGTAAAATCCCTACATTTTGGCCACACAATTTTCTAGCAGTTTGGCAAAAAAAAGGAGGATTTCCTGGGCCCAGTCCCTCTGCCATCATAATGAGTGTTTCACTTCCTTGTTATCCATATGGAGTATCTGTATGGTGTGAACATCCATTGCTTAATCAGTTTGCCATCCAACGGAAAGCAGTGAGCACAGCGTTATTGGAGCATTCAGACTGCTAAATCACTGTTAACCTCTATTGGAGCTGCAGATTTGACGTTAAGACTCTATACTCTAGTCACACTACATGCTGTCCATGTATATAACCCCCATACCCGATTCCTTAAGCACACGGCCCCAACCAACTTCCCATTCACTCTACCACTTTCCCTCTACTTAATTAACCTCTACTAACTGCATCCCCCTCTGCCTGACCTCCCTTTATTCATCACTGTCTCTCTCTCTCTCAACCTGACTTCCTCAGACTACAACCACATCCCTATCTCTCTATTTACCATATCTCTTTACCTGACCTCTATTTACCATATCTCCCCACCTGACCTCTATATACCATATGTCTTTAACGGACCTCTATTTACCATATCTCTTTACCTGACCTCTATTTACCATATGTCTTTACCTGATCTCTATTTACCATATGTCTTTACCTGACCTCTATTTACCATATCTCGCCACCTGACCTCTATTTACCATATCTCGCCACCTGCCACCTGAACTCTATTTACCATATCTCGCCACCTGAACTCTATTTACCATATCTCGCCACCTGACTCTATTTACCATATCTCGCCACCTGAACTCTATTTACCATATCTCGCCACCTGAACTCTATTTACCATATCTCGCCACCTGAACTCTATTTACCATATCTCGCCACCTGAACTCTATTTACCATATCTCTTTACCTGACCTCTATTTACCATATCTCTTTACCTGAACTCTATTTACCATATCTCTTTACCTGAACTCTATTTACCATATCTCTTTACCTGACCTCTATTTACCATATCTCCCCACCTGACCTCTATTTACCATATCTCGCCACCTAACCTCTATTTACCATATCTCGCCACCTGACCTCTATTTACCATATCTCGCCACCTGACCTCTATTTACCATATCTCGCCACCTGACCTCTATTTACCATATCTCGCCACCTGACCTCTATTTACCATATCTCGCCACCTGACCTCTATTTACCATATCTCGCCACCTGACCTCTATTTACCATATCTCGCCACCTGACCTCTATTTACCATATCTCGCCACCTGACCTCTATTTACTATATCTCCCCACCTGACCTCTATTTACCATATCTCTTTACCTGACCTCTATATACCATATCTCTTTGACCGCTATTTACCATATCTTTTGAACTGACCTCTATTTAATATATCTCCCGTCCTAACCACATTCAACCACTCCCTCATCTCTCTCTATCCTGACCCACACTTCACTGCTCAGTGGCTTCCTGCAAGGATAAGACAACAATTTTCCAGGTTTAAGGATTCAACGCCACCTAAGCCTATAGAATGAAAGAACTAATTGTTGAAGGCACAGTATGCACAAAATAGTCTGTCTTTGATTACACCACTTACTACAGTGTTTCAAACTGTCTTTGGAAGCAAATTTAGAACAAGAACTGCTCAACAGGAGCATCATGCAATCACCTTCCATAACTGGTGAGTTGCACAAAATACTATGATAATCATAGACAATATGGTGACAGCGACCATGCTGAACGATTCTGTGCTTCCAACTCCGAGGTCTTTCTAGAATTATCTAGGTTGTGTATGATGTCCTTATTGAGTTATCTGTATTCAAACATGGATTATAACGATGGCATACATGCAAGAAAAGCACTTACAAACGGGTGTAGAATCCAGGGCAGACTACTTGACAATAAGGGGGTTATGTATAGAAAGTATACTAAAAGTGGGGCAGTCACCATGGAAACCAGTGTAACCGGCAGGTATTTTACATTGGTGACTCCGGCTCCTTTCCATGTTTACACCAATTTTCAGAACAGACACTTAATACATAACCCCCTAAAAACCTGCCCATTTACCCTGAAATGTACAATTCATTATAATACGCAGTGATTTAAAAACTCACATTAGCAACATTTAAACTCACAGAGCTGGAATTTTTTTTTAAAATTAACCTGTAATTCTAGACTGATCGTGTACGGAATCTAGAGTTAAACTAATGTGTTCAGATTTTATATAGAGCCTGTTATCAGCACACTACTTCAGGGAACAAATCATTAGTGATAAAAACTACAACTAAAATTACTGACTAAATGTCTTCATTAGTTCGATAGACCTTCGTCAGACAAAAGGTCAAACGGACACGACTAGGGCTGTCAGATGCATGTTTTCCTGGACACATACTGGAGGGCAGTACAAGAAAGAAGCTCCCCTGCACTATGTATACATAAATCAAAGAGGAATCCTGCAGCAAATGAATAATACACACTACGAGGCAGCGTGCTTTATTTATAACATATAGAATCCAGTTAAACATAGTAGACCCAGCAGCCCTAGCCAAGGCCATGGTTCCTGTGCGATTACACTATGTATTGCAGCAAACTGAAAACCCAAATAAGATGAATTAAAATAATAATCAAGTTCAGCTGCCTTGGAGCCCATTTTGCAATTTAGATGTTACTTTGCCACTATCACGGTATGTGTAGGGACATAACAGAAAACTACGACAAGAGAACATGAAACAGGGCTCTGATGTCATGGGGCATTACAAACAGATTCTTTGAAGAATAGTCAGATTGCTAACTTTTTAAAATAAACAACGGGAACACACAGCACAGCTGTGCTTTAATAATAAAGACTGTTAAATATAAATTATACCAACCTGACAAGATCCGTCATACAGGAACCAACAACAATGACATCTTGAATTTCTTGAGCCATAGTTTCTGTTGCTAACTGACGAAAAAAGAATAATAGAAATTAAAAAATAATAGTAGAAATTCTCAGTTAAACAAATCGTGTAGATGGCAAATGTGGACTTCAAGCCCAAAGATTTCCTGCTACAGCGTCTGGCTGTAATGACCTTTCATCAGTAGTTAGGATTTTACGGACTTCAGTGAGCTGACTAAACCTCTGCTGCTTAAAGGGACACAAAGCATCAGCATTATTACAGCCTATTGCAGTGGTTATGGTGCAGTTGCAGTCCTGCATGTTTGTTTCCATGTTGTTTGAGAGAACATTGAGGACATCTAAATCCTATACTGAATACTGCTAATAAATGATTTGTTGGAAAATCAGACAGGGTTATTCACCAAACTCTGAATTTTCGCAAATTAATTTTGAATGGCAAAACAAAAGCAAAAATAGTAAAGCTATGAATTGGAGGATTTCTCCAACTCACATTTTTTTTTCCATTTGGAATTAAAGTTTAGTAAATAACCCAAAACAGGCACACTGAAAACATTAAAGGAATACAATACTACCAGTAATACAAATACGTATTCCTGACACTACAGTTCTAATGTGGCAGCACTATACTAGGAAGCATCTCCAGTGGTAATCTGAGTGACTGCCATTAGAGGTGTCCCTAGGCAGTAATGTAAACACTTCCTTTTCTTTGAAAAGACAGAGTATACACTGAAAAGCAAGCAGGGACAGGATACAAACTCCAGAACAACTACGTTAAGCTATAGTGGTTCTGGTGACTATTTTCTTCTTTTTAGTTATACTAATCAGTCCGAACTATAAAACCACTGACAGGTGAAGTCAATAACATTGATTATATTGTTACAATGGAACCTGTCAACTTCGTCAAGTGCCAAATAGTGATGACTAGACGACTGGGTCAGTGCATATCCAAAACAGCAAGTCTTGTAGTGTGTTTTGAGTATGCAGTGGTTAGTACCTACCAAAAGTAGACAGGACGTAAAAGGACAACTGGTGAACCAGCTAAAGGGGCATGGGCACCTAAGGATTATTGATACATATGTATGTAGTCTATCAAATCTTGTTCAATCACACAGAAGAGTTAATGTAGCCCAAACTGCTGAAAAACTTAATGCTGGCCGTGAAATAAAGGTGTCAGAACACACAGTGCATTTCAGGGGCTGCATAGCTGCAGACCAGCCAGATTGCCTTTCATTTCCTGTCCATGGCCAAAAGTGCCTTCAATGGGAACATAGCATGAGAACTGGACCATGGAGCAATTGAAGAATGTTGCCTGGTCCGACTAATCATGTTTTTTTTTAGACCAGGTGGAAAGCTGGGTGCATGTGTGTTGTTTACCTGGGGAAAGATGGTAGCAGGATGCACTATGGGAAAAACGTAAGCCGGCGGAGGCAGTGTTATGTTCTGGACAATATTCTCCTGGGAAACCTTGGGTCTTGACATTCATGTGGATGTTACTTTGACACATACCACATAACTAGAGATTGTTGCAGACGTACACCCCATTATGGCAATAGTGTTCCCTGATTGCAGCGATAATCAGCAAGATAATGCACCCGGCCACACTGCAAAAATTGTTCAGGAATGGTTTCAGGAACATTTCACAGAGTTCAAGGAGCCGCCTTGGCCCCCAAATTCCCCAGATATCCATTGTACAGCGCTACGGAATCTGATGGCACTATACAAATAATAAAATAATAATCTAAATCTGATTGAGTATCTGTGGGATGTGCTGGAACAACAAATCCGATCCATGGAGGTCCCACCTCACTACTTGCAGGACTTAAAGGACCACTATTGTGCCAGGAAAACATACTCGTTTTCCTGGCACTATAGGGTCTCTAGGTCCCCCCCTCCCGCCGGACTCTAGGGGATGGAACTGGTTAAATCTTACCTGTTTTCCCCAGCCCGGCTCCCTCAGCGCGGGGAACTCTCCTCCTCCTTTTCGCCGTCATCGGGCGCGCGCATTCAACCAGTCCATAGGAAAGCATTCTCAAAGCTTTCCTATGGACGCTGGCGTCTTCTCACTGTGAAAATCACAGTGAGAAGCGCGGAAGCGCCTCTAGCGGCTGTCAACGAGACAGCCACTAGAGGCAGGATTAACCCTAATGTAAACATAGCAGTTTCTCAGAAACTGCTATGTTTACAGCAAAAAGGGTTAATCCTAGATGGACCTGGCACCCAGACCACTTCATTAAGCTGAAGTGGTCTGGGTGCCTATAGTGGTCCTTTAAATAAACACTATAGGGTTAGAAATACAAACATGTATTCCTGACCCTATACCATGCTAGGTGGCTGCCCTCACTTAAATAAGCATAAACGTAAATTTTAAAGATCTCAGCCAAGGAGGAAGAGCCAAATTCCACGCTGGCCAATCAGCATCTCCTCATAGAGATGCATTGAATCAAAGCATCTCCATACAGTGCCAGGTCCCCTGCCCCATGCGCAGCGACCTTGCTTACCTCATCACAGCAAGCGGCGCCATCTGATCCCTGTCTCCAGACTGGCAGTTTGTCTGACGCTGCACGCTCCAGAGCAGCTTCCTTATATGTGTGCTGCACCCGGTCATGTGACCCGGCACACAGTGATGACCTCAGAGATCACAAGGGAGGGAAGAAACTCCTCCCACGTGTTTTGATTAACACTAATTGGAGATTAGCCAATCAGACACACCCTGTGTGTATATAAGCTAACCCCTCCCTTTCCTCAGTGCCCTGTTGAGGTCTTTGGTTTACCATTGAGTGGTGTACTTGTTATTTGAACTTCCTGGAAATATTTGGCTTTGTCTCTCGTTATTCCGTCTCTCAGAGTACCTTGAACTCGACTCGTGTTTTCACTATCCCTTTTTGCATAATCCGACCATTCTAAGGATCGGTATTGCAATTCTCTCTACTCTGTCCTGTCTGCGTGTTGGGGTTCCTTAGTGAACGTTACATACAGAGTGTAGAGACACTGAATGTAAGTGCTTCACCTTGACCCAGGAGGCACCTCTAGTGGCGGCCTGAGTGACTGCCACTGGAGGTGTCCCTAAGGGGCAATGTAAACACTGCCTTTTATTTGAAAAAGCAGTGTTTTACATAAATGCCTACAGGGACATACTATACACACTGGAACAACTACATTAAGCTGTAGTGGTTCTGGTGACTATAGCGTCCCCTATAAGGACCTGCTGCTAATGTCTTGGAGCCAGATAGCACAGGACACGTTTAGAGCAGTGCATTATTGGGGGAGCAGGTTATATAGAGCAGTGCATTATTGGGGGAGCGGGTTATATAGAGCAGTGTATTATGGGGGAGCGGGTAATATAGAGCAGTGCATTATGGGGGGAGCGGGTTATATAGAGCAGTGCACTATGGGGGGAGCAGGTTATATAGAGCAGTGCACTATGGGGGGAGCAGGTTATATAGAGCAGTGCACTATGGGGGGAGCAGGTTATATAGAGCAGTGCACTATGGGGGGAGCGGGTTATATAGAGCAGTGCACTATGGGGGGAGCGGGTTATATAGAGCAGTGCATTATGGGGGGAGAGCGGTGTATTATGGGGGGAGCAGGTTATATAGAGCAGTGCATTATGGGGGGAGCAGGTTATATAGAGCAGTGTATTATGGGGGAGCAGGTTATATAGAGCAGTGCAGTATGGGGGGAGCAGGTTATATAGAGCAGTGCATTATGGGGGAGCAGGTTATAGATAGTGAGGTTCAGGCCTGGTGCGGTCACTCACCCTCCCGCGGTTCCGATTGGTTGAAGTGGGAAGGTCACTGTCCAATCAGGTCACGCAATGCGTGTCACGTGGCCGGTGATTGGCGGAAGTGCAGTGAGCGCTTGCTGAGGCCGTCTCCATGGTTACCGGGTTTGGCTGCCCTAGCACTGCCTGTTATATTACTAACGGCCTAACACGGTAATGGGGCCCCCAGGAATGTATTGTCCCATTTCTCCCAGTCACACACGTTACGTACAGTCAGTATTGGTGGATATATTGCCGGTATAATAATGTTACTGTAATATCAGAGCAGGCATTGCTGGGGACAGACGGAGGGGGTCCTACTGCGAGGCCCCCTCACTGTGTGTTTCCTGAGCTCACAGTCTGCTTCTTCCCGCAGGTGAGTTACTGCAGGACCTGCATCACAGTCTGCACCATAACCACCACACTGGGAGCATGCCCTGCACCATAACCACAACACGGGGAGCATGCTCTGCACCATAACCACAACACTGGGAGCATGCCCTGCACCATGACCACAACACTGGGAGCATGCCCTGCACCATAACCACCACACTGGGAGCATGCCCTGCACCATGACCACAACACTGGGAGCATGCCCTGCACCATAACCACCACACTGGGAGCATGCCCTGCACCATGACCACAACACTGGGAGCATGCTCTGCACCATAACCACCACACTGGGAGCATGCTCTGCACCATAACCACAACACGGGGAGCATGCTCTGCACCATAACCACAACACTGGGAGCATGCTCTGCACCATAACCACAACACGGGGAGCATGCTCTGCACCATAACCACAACACTGGGAGCATGCTCTGCACCATAACCACAACACTGGGAGCATGCTCTGCACCATAACCACAACACTGGGAGCATGCTCTGCACCATAACCACAACACGGGGAGCATGCTCTGCACCATAACCACAACACTGGGAGCATGCTCTGCACCATAACCACAACACTGGGAGCATGCTCTGCACCATAACCACAACACTGGGAGCATGCTCTGCACCATGACCACAACACTGGGAGCATGCTCTGCACCATGACCACAACACTGGGAGCATGCTCTGCACCATAACCACCACACTGGGAGCATGCTCTGCACCATAACCACCACACTGGGAGCATGCTCTGCACCATAACCACAACACTGGGAGCATGCTCTGCACCATGACCACAACACTGGGAGCATGCTCTGCACCATGACCACAACACTGGGAGCATGCTCTGCACCATAACCACAACACTGGGAGCATGCTCTGCACCATGACCACAACACTGGGAGCATGCTCTGCACCATGACCACAACACTGGGAGCATGCTCTGCACCATAACCACAACACTGGGAGCATGCTCTGCACCATAACCACCACACTGGGAGCATGCTCTGCACCATAACCACCACACTGGGAGCATGCTCTGCACCATAACCACAACACTGGGAGCATGCTCTGCACCATGACCACAACACTGGGAGCATGCTCTGCACCATGACCACAACACTGGGAGCATGCTCTGCACCATGACCACAACACTGGGAGCATGCTCTGCACCATAACCACAACACTGGGAGCATGCTCTGCACCATGACCACAACACTGGGAGCATGCTCTGCACCATACCACAACACTGGGAGCATGCTCTGCACCATAACCACAACACTGGGAGCATGCTCTGCACCATAACCACAACACTGGGAGCATGCTCTGCACCATAGCCACAACACTGGGAGCATGCTCTGCACCATAGCCACAACACTGGGAGCATGCTCTGCACCATGGCCACAACACTGGGAGCATGCTCTGCACCATGGCCACAACACTGGGATCATGCTCTGCACCATGGCCACAACACTGGGATCATGCTCTGCACCATGGCCACAACACTGGGATCATGCTCTGCACCATGGCCACAACACTGGGAGCATGCTCTGCACCATGGCCACAACACTGGGAGCATGCTCTGCACCATGACCACAACACTGGGAGCATGCTCTGCACCATAACTAGGGTTGTTATGGTGCAAAGCAAGTGGCACCAGAGAATTGATGCATGTTTCCATGTAATCTGTGTGGCAAAGTTGTCTAGTCCCACTAATGATAAATATGAGAGATGATCATTGCGATATCTCAAATTCTACTTCTGCAGTTGGGCATTTAAGACCCTAATTGCAAAATACTAGCAGGATTATTCATGAAATTGTGATTATTAGAGGATTATAAATATTGTCATTTATTTAGCGCCAACATACTCTACAGCACGTTACAATATTATAAAAGGGGAAATGTAACAATAAATGACAATAACAAAATGTTACAGGAACAATAGATTGACGAGGACTGTGCTCAAACGGACTTAGTTTAGAGGAGGTGGGGGTTAAAAACACAATAGGAAGGGCATCAAGGTGGATAGCTAACACGTTACAGGGTGGGAAAGTAGCAGAACTGGAAGGTGGGAGGAGTATGGCCCTTTTACAAAGTAATTCAAAATGATTTTTTTTAGGCCAAAACAGCAAGATTGGAAAAAATCCACGTTGTCTCTGAATCCAGCTGTCAAATAAATGCGACTATGCACTGAGACCCTTGTTAGAACCCTGCAGCTCAGTATTGGTAAATTAGTGTTTAACAGGGTTCTAGTATTGTAGCCGATAGTTGCATTGCTATCTTCATAATGTGTTTTACTGTAAAATCTTGGCAAAGTACTGCAGGTTATTGCAAACTTTGTAGGTTGGAGTGAGAGATTTATATTTTGTTCTAATACTTCCAAACTCCTGTAATTATTTAAAGGGACACTATAGGCATCCAGACCACTTCAGCTCATTAAAATGGTTTGGGTGCTGTGTCCCAGGTCCCTTAGCCCTGCAAAGGTAATTATTGCAGTTTTTAATAAACTGCAATAATTACCTTTGAGGGTTAACTCTGCCTCAAGTGGCTGTCTACCGTCATTAGAGGGACTTCTGGGTCATTAGATGACTTTTGGTCGTCGAATTGACGCTGGACGTCCTCACGCTATGCATGAGGACATCCAGCGTCACCTGAAATTCCATAGAAAATCACTGGGGAGTCCTAAAGTGAGAGCAGTTTTAAACCCCTTCGGCACAATAGTTTCTTTTTAAATATCATTTGACTATCTGAACATCTTATCAAGTTCTTCAAATACATATCCTAGACCTAGGCTCCTGTATATGTCTCTATGGCTTCTAAACTTAAGACATTTATCAACCGTTCATTTAAAGTGGCAAAGAACACAATCGCATACTTACAGGACTGTTCACTAAAGCGTAAATTGTCAAAAATCGTGGACACCCCCTCCCATTATGACAGCAGCCCTCTCCAGTTCCCTACAAACTTGATTATTTTTTCTATTTTTTTCTACCTACCTCCCTCACTGGCTCACCAACCCCTCTCTCTCCTCTTGCTGGTTCTGAGCTCATTTACGCACTTGGAGCCAGTTCAACAGTCCAGTCAAAGGCTAAGCCTTTGAATGGACCTCGCACGGCTGCTGTGACGTCAGCAGGGGGTGTGGTCATGCCGTGACCTTCGCCTGGCATATGTTTTCAGTTAAGCTTTAGCTTAATTTTATAGTTATTTTGGCTTTAAGAGGTGCGTGACCTAAAGAATATGCTGCATTATATATTAAAAAAAAGTATGCATAAATATGGATTGAGCTAACATACAAAAAATAAAGTACTGTTTATCGGATATACACTAAGCTCATTTAAGCAGGGTCCTCTTCAACCTATTGTTCCTGTAAGTTTTCTTGTAATTGTCCTATTTATAGTTAACCCTCTCCCCCCCCTTTATAATATTGTATAGCGCTACGGAATCTGTTGGTGCTATATAAATGGCAATAATAAATACAACGAATTAAAAACAGCTTGGAAAAGTTGCAGATATCTTGTCTGCAGCCTTTGCAAGCCATCTCCTTCTAAACCCGCTCAGACCTTTTTGTAGCTGTCCAATCACAGACTTCCCAATACGGCTCAATGCAAGGCAGGTGCCCTGAGCAATTGCTACCTCTTTAGTTTGGCTCCACTGAGCTAATCAAACCGGAAAGTAAAAGGCCAGGCTGTATGATTGACACACAGGGATGTAACAAGGTTAATTTATAAAAGTTTGAATTTCTGTTAAAATATGTGGGAAAATAAATAAATAAAAAGGACACACTTCACACATCAAGTGCTTTAGGTGTGTGGAGTGGTCATATAATATATTTCTTTTTTTGCAAGTGAAACTCTAAAACAAAGACTTAATTATGAAAAGACTTTGTCAAGTTGTCAGTAAGGGGGTGTAACAAGGTTAATTTATAAAAATGCCAAGTTCTGTTGAAATCTGTACTTCTTGCAAAATGAAAAAACGAGGACACAGGTTTCACACAGCAAGCTAAAGTTCTTAAAGGATTTTAGAAACACTTTATGCTGAGGGTAACTTGCCGTTCCCTCCCTCCTTTAACCCTCAGCCTGTTGCCATTCTTTGTGTATGGATTATAGACTTTATCTTGGAGGAAAAAGGTGATGCTGTAACTGCTATGGTCAGCATGGCGATAGTTGGGAGTAACACAGTCTCCCATTAGAATTTATATATTTGGATGCTTCTTATTCTTCTAAATAGGCTGTAAACAAACCCCATTGGAACCAAGGAAAGACTTTACAGAATGTCTCCAGAAATCACCCTGAACCGGATTTCCCCGGCACTTTCACCATTTATCTCGAGCGTGGTCAGAAATGGGAAGGTTGGCTTGGACTCCACAAATTGTTTGAGAATTACAGACCTCAAGTCAGGGTAAGCATGCAGATTATATATTTCATGTGCCTGTCCTCAATTTTTGGGCAGTAATGGGAAGTGAGTAGGGCAGTTTCCATCTCTTGTACAGCTGGCCAAGAAGCAGCTTTAAAAAGTATTTTTCAGAAGATGCTGGTCGTCCAACTAACATTTTTATTTTTGTCTCCAGCTGCTCGTCACTTACCCCTGGACCAAGCTGTGATCGATTTAAACTTCACATACCGTATGCTGGAGAGACGCTGAAA